TTTCTGGGTATTTTAATCATTTTATTAATAATGCCAGCATTTTAATAAAGCGATGGTCATTTGTCTGTCTCTCTCTTAGACCAAAACCAATCATGGTAGTGGACTCACAGTTTATATGCCTTTTTGGAAGAGGAGTGTTCCCCAGGGTGGCAATCAACTCTGATTTGTTAACAATTAATGAGAGAATGGACCTGAACTTTGATTAAGTCATTTATTTTCAAGTTAGCCCCAGCTTTGGACAATCTAGCAAAGAATTTATTTTCACCCAAACCTGAGTAGAACACAATAGCTGCCCCCCCTGGGTATAGTCTGGATAGAGAAGAAGGTTAGCTCAACCCTCAGAGACTGAGGTCTTCAGATGAGGATAAAAGAAAAAAGGAGGAAATCTGAATCTCCCCAAATTGTTGTTTATTAATAATCATTTCTCTCAGTTACACACCTCAATCTACAATGAGGAAGTTGAGCTAGCTGGCCTTAGAGGGACCTTTTGGCTTGAGATCTAAGACTTTATGATCAAACTTTTATATAAAAAGTTTTTATGAGAATCATCTACAATATATTTAGATTGAGGACATCCTTGATGAGAATACTTGAAAGGAACAAGCAGGCTTGGGAAACCACATTCCAAAGCAGATCATATCTTTACTAGCGTACAATGGACTGAACAAAGTAGAGAATGAAAGATAGCTATGTTTTCATTGTGGACTCTAAAAAAGGATTCTATTTTTTAAAATAACAAATCAGTGTCTCAAAGTCTCTCCTCTACCAATAAGTGCCTTGTGTGTATGTCAAAATTATAAAGATTCTTGGAAAGATGTAACAACAAAGATACCCTTGTTTGAAGCCCTTCCCACCTCCCTTTCTCCCTGATTATTAACAAGTAAAGAAAAAGTAGTGAGATGTGCTCACCAAAGGTGTTTGTCACTGTTATAGAAGAGACTCAGTGCAGAATCCAAAACAAATAGGGATTCCCAATTGGTGTTGACATCTTCTAGACTCTGTAAAGAATATTGTGCTGATTTCAGTTAGCCTCAAAACATTGTACGGATTTGTAGATGAGAGGTGTAAATATTCAAAAGGCTGTACGTTGACTACCCACAAGAGAAAAATTAAGTGGATGAAGAATGTCTGTTCTCCGGACTGTCATATATAGTTGGATGGACAACCTACATAACTAATTAATTAGTATATATTAGAAAGACATTACAAATAGATAACGATCTGGGATAGGAGTTAAACAAGAGTAAGAAAGCAGACCTCATTATTTTGGGGAAATTGTGAAATTATTTTATTGATGTATGTTTTTCCTTGAAAATGAAGGTCCATCTTTTAAAAACCAATTTTCATACGGGTTGGTTTTATGGCTATCAGTTGCGAGACCACTATGTCCACCAAAGAATTTAGGATGATCACCCAAAAGGCAATGGTGAGTTACAATGTGGACATGAGGCACCTGCATCCCAGCAAAGACAAGGAATCATGCAGGAGAAGGAAGATTAAAGGATGTCATCAAAGAAATTTATAAAAAAATAAAATGGGTTAATCTTGTAGCAAAAGCAAGAAATATATGATGGACAACGATGTTCCACTGGTATCATCATTATGTCAAAAGAAGCTCCCCTAGAGCATTGGGTGGATCTCCTATAGCAAACTGACAGAAGCACATAAACAAAATTTATAAAGGATGGGCGGACACAAATAGGTAATGATCTACATTGTTTCAGAAAATATAAAATTCAATAAGGATTTATTAAGCACCTGCTTCGTGCCAGACACTATATACATACTGGTGATACAAATACAAAACCAAAACATTCTCTTGAGTAATGTTTTTCCTAATATGTCATTTTTCTTTGTAAAAAAATTATTTTACTTGTATAATTTTTAAAATTTTAATAAATCAGACACATCTATCTTAACCCCTAATGATTTTTAAGTAGAAAAAAATCATCATCTTCACACAATTGAAAGAAATTCATCATTCCATTTCTTCATATTTTTAATAGTTCTCTTTAACATTTAAGTCTATCATCCTGTTAGAATTCACTGAAGTATATGATAGAATGTTTTCGGGGAGATTCATCTTAGTTGGGTCTAAGTGAGGCTTTCTAGAGACTGTTTCCTCTGCTACTCTGTGCTGTTTTGTGAAGTGATGACACTAACAATATCTAAGCATCTTTCTCCTAAACATTTTGCAAATGGATTTATGTTCTAAACCGTGCTGTCTCTAGCTGCAAAGTCTCTCCATTTGGCAAAAAAAAAATTGCCACTGGTTGAAGCAGTTTCTGGGCTCTTTTGGCCTTCTTATTGTGACAACTGCTTTACATCAGTTAAACTTCTACAGGAAATGTTATTAGGACTAATTCCCAATTTTTACTTGACTAGGTTATATTAGAACTACTGCAATTGCATATACCATTTCCTTCTTTTTTCTTCAACCCTTATTCTCATTTGATCTTGATTTTTATTTTTGCTTTCATAAATTGATGGTCTACTTACACATAGCTGATTCTGAAATAATTTTCACATCAGCAATTAATCATTGACTATATGCTAAGTTGTAGTTAATTTCATTTTTTAAAAAGTGTTCAGTATATTCAGTACCCTCCAGCTTTCTTCTTCTTTTTTGGGGGTGTGTGTGAGGCAGTTGGGGTTAAGTGACTTGCCCAGGGTCACACAACTAGTAATGTCATGTGTCTCAGGCCAGATTTCAACTCAGGTCCTCCTGACTCCAAGGCCAGAGCTTTATCCACTGTGCCACCTAGCTGCCCCCTCCAGCTTTCTTCTTGAAGAAAATATTTATGACAGGTGTGTAATTTCATAGTAATTTATAAGTATTTTAATCTCTTCTGTTTCTTACACTGAACCGTATTTTCCAACATATTTTTCTCCCTCTCTTATGTCAAACTGTGCATAGAAATCACTGAGTATCACTGTATGTTGACTTTCTTTGGAACATCATTTTCTTGCTCCCAAGATCTTTTTCATGATATAGAGATCAGGTATAGATAAGCATCTAGGTGTCACAGTAGATAGAATGCTGGATCAGTCAGCGAGACTTGAGTTCAAATACAGCCTCAAACACTCCTTCCTAGATGTGTGACTTTAGGCAAGTCATTTAACCTCTGTCTTCCTCAGTTTCTCCATCCATAAAATGGAGATGAAAATAGTTCCTACCTCCTAGGGAATTTGCTGCTGAGGTTAGCACTCTCTTCCTACTCATCCAGGCTTACATCCTCTGTGTAATCCTCATCTCCACATTTGCACTCACCCAGCATATACAATCATTTGTCAAATCTTATCATTCCTTTTTCCACATTTCTTGTGTAGACCCCCTTCTCTTCACTCACACTGCTACCATACTGCGCATTACCTCACGCCTGGACTATAGCAATAACCTGGTTGGTCTCCCTGGCCCGAGTCTCTCCCCATTCTGGTCCAATTTCCACTCAGCTGCCAAAGTTATTTTTCTTAATTATAGGTCTGACTACATCACCTCCTACCCCAATTTAATAAACTCCAGTGGCTCCCTATTTCTTTCAGGCTCAAATATAAAATCTTTTATTTGCCATTTAAAATCCTTTACAACTTGGCCCCTTCCTGCCTTTCCGGTGTTCACTTCCAGAGTATACCTTATATCCTTGCATGAACTCTTCAATTCAGCTACTTGGGCCTCCTGTTTCTCCCACTTGACTCTCCCCACCATTTCCCCACTCTATGCACTAGCATTGACTGACCTCCTTGCCTGGACTGCTTTCCCCCCTCCCCTCCAACTCCTGGCTCAAACCCTGCCTCCTCTAGTAGACCTCTATATGGTGTCTCCCCCGCCTCCCTCAATTCTGTCCCTCTGAGACGACCTTCTATTTTCACTGTAAATATGGTGTATGTACGCAGTTATTTGTATATTGTCTCAAGGAATGTGAGCCCTTCCTCTCTTTTCTCTGTATCCTTAGCATTTAGCATAAAGTGAGAGCTCAATAAATGTTTGTTGACTGATTGACTAGAAATCTTCAAGCAGATCCTGGGTACTCACTTGTCAGGGATGTTGCTGAGGTCCCTTCCAACTCTGAGATCTTGTGATTCCCCCTACCCCCTTTCCCCCTGCTTTCCAGCTCCATTTTACATAGTGTCTTCCCCCATTAGAATGCAAACTCATTGAGGGCAGAGACTGTTCTTTCTGTTTTTTTATAAATATTCCCAGTTCAGTGGAAGTACTCTGTGAGTAGCTGTATTGGGGGCAGAAATAATCCCTCTCCTTTGGAAATGTGTAAAAAATTTTATCATAGATGATTTCAGACATATTTGTTGTAGAGAAATGGACCAGTCAATAAAGTGAATCTAAGGGTTAAAAATAAATAAATATTCCTAGTGCTTAGCACAGTGCCTGGCACATAGCAAGCACTTAATAAATGTGTTGACTGACTGTTTACTGTTCACAACATTCCATTCCTGGTAATGAAGGCATGTCAAACTTCAATTCCAACATCCCCAACTCGTATATCCCTGACTTGGACACTGCATTGTTCTTATTGTCACTAATGGCTGACGAATGATCTCATTTGATGCTCACAATAATTGCGTGAGTTATGGAGGGCAAGTATGATTTCCACTCACACACCCCAATATTTTACAGAGAAAGAAACTGAAGTTGATAGAAGTTAAATGAGTTTCTGAAGGTCGCATAGTTAATAAATGCCAAAGCTGGAAAAGGAACTGAGGCCTTTGGTCTAATATTATTCCATAATCTGGACATTTCAACTTCAACTTCTAATGGCTTAAGATAGCTTTGGAGTTAATGGTGTCACTGATAAATATACTGGAAACCGTGAAACTTCTGGGAAAACAATGCCTAAGTCCAGTAGCTCTCCTATCTGAAGGAGGCTTCCTGAGTCCCCCTGGGTGGAAGCAGATTAAGCAAAAAATGAACTTTAACCTTGACTCTTTCTTGCCAATAACTGTAAGTTCTGAAGCAAAATTGTTTCTTTTGTGTTCATTGTTAGGTTGACATTTCTCCTTAAATATTTAAGACTTTTTATGCTGATAAAAATATTTCAGCTGTCCAATTCGAAAAAAAAGATTGAAAAAGCAGCTAGAAAGTTGGTAAGTGGGTAAACCCTCTTTTGGATTTTACAGCATATCTGCTATTCTAGCTAGATCATGTATATAGTGCCTGCTACAAGCCAGACACTGTACTAAGCCCTTCACAAATATTATCTCATTTGATCTTCACAATAACCCTGGGAGACAGGGGCTGTTGTCCCTGTTTTATAGCTGAGGAAACTGAGGCAAACAAAAGTTAAGTGACTTGTTCAAAGTCACATAGCTACTACGTACATGAGGCTGGATTTGAATTCAGTTCTTCCTAACTCCAGGCTTACTACTCTATCCACTGTGCTATCTAGCTGCCTCCTGTTCTAGGAGGTACTGGCAAGGATGACAGATATTAGGTAATATTTTAGGTTGGCATATATTTAACAAATCTGTCATTTTTCTCTTCAAGGTTTCAGAAAACAAAAGACGTTATAGGAAAGATGGATTTGACCTGGACCTCACTTACGTTACTAGTTTGTGCAGCTTGATAAACTTACAACTACAATGGCTTGTTGGTTTGCGTGTAGTAACTTAAAAAAATTTTTCCCTTGTGAATAATTCAGTCTATATTTTGCCTTGGTTTAATCCAAACCATATTGCTTTTTAAAAACATTTTGCATTCAGAAAACCTTTCTTAGTTCTTACTCAGTGTCTCTTCTGCTCTTGCAAATATAGAATGGAAGAGGGTGGGAGAATACACACATATGCAAAAATTAGAGAAAGGTGGTAGTGTTGAAGTGGAAAGGGGGAATCAATGTTATTATTTTTATTATCTCTCAATCAGAAGATATTTGATTGTCAAACATGTTTTGTAAACTTTAGGAGGGGAGATAATATGGACAAACAATAACTTATGGGATAAGCTGGAGCCAATCTCAGAGGTTTAAGGAAAGTTACCAAAACCATTGTAGAGGCCGAGATCTGACTTGGTCTTCCAAAGGTCCTTGGGGGACCAGACATGAACTATTGTTAGTCTGAGCCCCTTCCCCTCCCAAGGTGACTGCTGATAAAAGCAGCTACAGATCCTTTTTTCAACTAGCCTCAACTAGGGAATTCAGTTAGAACTAGATGGCCCTTGAAACTCATGTAGCTAAATGATCATCCTATTCCACAAATTTATCCAAATCTCAGTCTACATTTGGTCACAGTGTTGATTTGTTTCTGTTCTGTGACTCTCAATTCCCTGAAAGAAAACTTTCATTAGAAAAGGGGCTTCTAAACATAAGTGGTCTGACTGTAAACATATATTAAATATGCATATATGTGTGTTTGCAAAATCTTATTTCATAATTTTAATGATTTCTTACTAGGAGTAATCTCTTTTTACTTTCAGATAATGTTATTGCCATGTCCTTCCCATCATCTGGAAGTCGGTCATTCTATAGAAACCCCATTAGGGTAAGAGAGAACATTATTTAATAGGGAACTCATTTTATATTTTTCATTGGAAATAGACTGAGTCCATTACAATGTTACATTTCAAGGGAGATATCAATATAGACAGTCCTCGACTTATTGTAGGCCAGCTTATGCTATCTCTGAGAATCTACCGATGAAGAGGTGATTCACCAAAATGAACTCCCCTTCCCTTCTTACTCACAGCATCCTTCCTCCTATTCATTTTTTTTTGGTCATTTCTGGGGCACCTCTGCAGATTTCGCTTGTGTAAACTTCAAGTTTTCTTCCCTTCTCCCTCTGCTTTTCTTCCCTATTCCATCAAGTGATCGTGTTCCTGATCTATTGTGACTCAGTGATGCCTACTTTTCTTCCATTAAGGCTCTAGGACTGGACTCTCTGGCTCCTCCTTACCGACATCCGACAGCCACCATCTTCTCTTTTGTTCTTGCTTCCTCTCATCTCCCTGAAGAAGGGGATGTGAGTTTTCATTGAAGGATTTCAGAGCCTGCCCTGCTGACTCTGAAATTAAAACATAACATTTCTAAGGGGTTCTTTAGAGGGTATTTTCTTGCTTTCCCCATAGAATATTAAAACATCGAAGAAAAAGTTGCAGTTAGTCTATAAATATTTCTTAAACACCTACTACATGCCAGATACTGTGCTGAGCTCTGGTTACAGAACTCTTGAAAATTAACCCCTAGTCTTTCATGCAAATATTCAGTGGGAACAAGAATGGCTGTTGTTCAGTCCTTTTCAGTTGTTTCTGACTCTTCATGACTCCATTTGGGGTTTTCTTGGCAAAGATACTGGAGTGGTTTGCCATTTCCTTCTCCAGCTCACTTTACAGATGAAGAACTGAGGCATACAGGACTAAGTGACTTGGCTAGGAAGTGTCTGAGGCCACATTTGAACTCAGGAATATGAGTCTTCCTGACTCCAGGTCCAGTATCCTATCCACTGTGCCACCTAGCTGCCTGGGAGCAAGACTAGTACCCCTCTGTGTCCTGACTCAGCCTTCCAGATCTGTTCCCCAGAATAAGCTCTTAATTTTTCAGCCAAAGTGAATGACTTGGGCTAGAACACTAGCAGAATTTTCCTAGGAAAATAAAGATAGTTTGTCATATAGGCGAGAACGTTGGATTTGGAGTCAGACAACCTGAATTTGAATCCCAACTCTGCTACTTATTCCTGTTTGAATTAATTTAGCCATCACTTAGTTTCTTAGGGTTTTAATTTCTTCATCTACAAAATAAAGAAGAAAGAATAAATGATTTTTAATTCCCTTACAGATCTATATCCCATGACCCATGATGAGTGATTTATATCACCAAGGTTCTCAGGATTTTCAGTCTCTTAGAATCTGTTTCCCGATCCCATCTCCCTCCTGGTATAAGATCTCTTATGACCACACAACTTCAAGTTGGACTGTCAAAGATGATTCCTACGGAAAAGAGAAGCAATATCTTCTTACAGAGCCATTATATTTGACTAAAATGATAGAGAATACACAAAACTCCTTTTCTTTGAAAGGGGACTGTGATAATCACAGAGCAATGGTCACTTGCAATTAAAGGTAACCATAGGCGTTTTACGCTGTTTAAGATACTCCTCAAAGACTTCATAGATACTTCTTCGGTTTCCCACCAGCTTCTCTGCTTGGTTTTGTCTTCACAAACAGCATGTCCCTATGCCAGATACACCCTTCATCAACCCCTTCTCCTTTCAGCTTCCTTTTGGGTATTGCCTCCCCCATTAGATTATAAGCTGCTTGAGGGAATGGACTGTTTTTCTTTTTCTTATTCTTATTCTTGTTGTATCCTTAGCACTTAGCCTAGCGCCTGCCTGGCACATCATAGGTACTTAATAAATGTTTATGGACTCACTCCTTCATCTTCCTTGAAGGTTTTACAGGAGGCTGTACTTGACCTTGAAGAGTTTTCTGGACTGGAGGAATACCTCAGTACAGTCAGTGGCAGCAATGATTTTCTTCCTCCCTCCTTCCCTTCTTGCTTTCCCAGTCATTACTCTGGCATCTCTGACCTTCCCCTTCTTTCTCAGACATTACTGTTCTAACTTTCTCTAGCTTAATTGTACCGCTGAAGCCAGTTTGGTAGGTAAATTTCACTTGCAGAATCAGATTTTCCTTGATAAACACCTAAATCATTTGACAGTCTTAAGATGGCTTTGTAGACATTATGGATAGCTACAAGAGTTAGGTAAACTTGGAACTGGGTGAACGATTTGATCAATACATCCTTACCCACTATTGTCTCCTCTTTATGTTCTCTTGGATAAGAGGCTGACTGGCTTTTGGTGATCACTCTCCCCATTTCTATTTCCCTTCACAGGACAGGTAGGGCCTAGGCTTTTCTTAGACCTATAGTAGTGGGTACTACAGGTCCCAAATTAGATTGAGAGTAAAAAAAAAAAGCCACCCCCCCATTTGCAAAGTGTCCAACTCTCCATGCAATCAAGGTATCCACTTTGCAGTCTCTTCCAGGGTTCCAGTGACATATTTGTGGATTTAGGAAATAGACATTAGTTTAAAGATGGTGTGGTCAATGTATCTGTTTTAAAAAGTGGTTTATGTCTTTAAATATATTTTATGATGTTTAAATGAAAAAGGTGTCTCTAGTGGTATTATTTTTATACTATTTTAATTAAAATATACAATATTTTCTGTATCATAGGTTCAATTGGCTCTTACGGTTTGAACTGTGAACCTAATTACTACTTAATGTTACAATGAAAAATGTGATCTGAAGTTCACACACAAGTTCATTCATAAGTGAACTCTTGGTCACTGGGAGTATCCTTTTCCTCTTCCAAGTGTTAATCTTAAATTGTGTCCATGATGTATCAGATCAATTTGTTGGTGGTGCTCAATCTAGTTCTACAGGTAAATATTAATGAATCAATAAGCATTTATTAAGCACCTACCACGTGCCTGAAATTGTCTGGTAATGTGGAAACAAAGATGCCCTGGTTTCAAGGATCTAGATATAATTTATACATTTAGATTTTACTTGATAAGTCCCTAAAGTCACCTGAAAATCCCTTTCAACCAACCTTGCGGTCAAAATGGTGGCATATGAGTTGAATGATAGATGGATTCAGGATGGATTGGAAGATTGTGCCCAAAGAATGATGCTTAATGGATCGATGTCATCTTGGAGTGTAGGCTCTAGCACAGACCGAAAAGGTCTTTGTAAACCACTCAACAGCCTGCTGCTCTTTCAAAACTTTATAGAATAAGAGTCTCAAAGCTGAAAAGGACCTCAGAAGCTGTCTAGTCTATAGAGTTATATATGCATATATAGTCTATAGTCTATAGCTGAACGAAAAACGCTCTTAAAACATAACTCACAAGTGGTCACTCAAACTCTGCTTGAGGCAGAGGCAATTCATTTCACTTTTGTAGAGCACTAGCTATCAGGAAGGCAGCTAGGTGGTGCAGGCGTGGAGTCAGAAGACTCCTTCCTGAGTTCAAATCTGGCCTCAGACACTTACTAGCTGTGTGACCCTGGGAAAGTCCCTTTACTCTGTTTGCCTCAGTTGCCTCATCTGTAAAATGAGCTGGAGAAGGAAATGGCAAACCTCTCTAGTATCTCTGCCAAGAAAACCCCCAAATGGAGTCAGGAAGAGTTAGGCACTATTGAACAACAACAACAAAAGCTGTTAAGAAGTTTTTCCTTTGATCAAGGTGAAGTTTACTTCCCTGCAACATCTACCCATTGCTTCTTATTCTACCCTTTAGAGGCAGACAGAACAAATGTAATCACTCTTCCAAATGCTAGTCCTTTAAATGCTGTGAGGTAGCTATCAGGTCTTCCCTAAGCAAGCATGCTCCTGGCTAAAATTCCCTATCCCTTTAGTGGATCCTCATATGGCAAAGCCTCAAGGTCCCTCACCTGCCTGGCTACCTTCCTCTGGTCATTAGAAAGCTTATCAAATCAATCCTCACCCCCAGCATGAAGCCTCACTCTTCTGCTCCCAAGTCACAGAATAAATTGAGATTTTCATTGGTTTTACCTAAATGCTTTAGGTCAGGGGATAGTCGTCGTAGCAAATAGCACTTTTTCTACTGAATCAGGGGACTGCTACATGGAATGTGATGGTCTTGACTCATAGACCAAATGGCTCAGAGGGCCAGGGGCACGTGGCAGCATTGCACTATGCTAATCACTCTGCCTAACAGAAATAGTTTCATCTTCTCCTAACAGATGCTGTAGAGATAATGCCTACCCTACCCTGGAACCAGGAAGGGGAATATGCACATGGGCTTAGCCACATTCAGTCCATCCTTCACCATTGCCTCCATAGCTCTGTCTTTTCCCCCTTCCGATGTCCCATGTCCCAGAACTTCCTTTTCTATCACTTCCACTCAGGAACAAATCTAGGCTGTGTTGATACTGAAACCAAGTGAAAGTAGCATAATATTGGCACTCTCTGGGGAAACACGACCTCAAGACTCAGATATCCACTAGCTATCATTGCATCCCTTGGATAGCTTTCACACCTTTGGTTTGATGGCATAAGCCTTGATGTTCCACTGCACAGTGATGTTTGAGGCTGATTAGATCATCTCCAAGGGCTTTTAAGAATAAATAGTTCACAATAGAAATTGCTTTTGGAACCAATTCAGCCTGAGGAACTGGGTACTAAGGGTCACCTAGATGACCATTAGCGTAAGCTCCAGGAAATTCCCAGAAACCATGCATCAAAGACTGTAGGAGTGCTGGGACCCCAGCAGAGATCCCGTAAGGGAAAGGACACATTTGTTTACTCAATCACGTGTGCAGTCTGCATAATAACTTATTTGAACTGTTAGCAAGTGAGTGTCCCATAAGATCAAAAGGTCATAAATCTAGAGTTGGAAGGTACCTCAGAGGCCATATAATCTAACCCATTATTTTATGGATGAGGAAACTGAAGCCCATTAAAGTCAAGAGACTTGCTCAAAGACACATAGTAGGTAGGAATTGGAGGCAAGCTTTAAACCAATGTCCTTTGACTTTTGAGTCAGTATTTTCCCCACTGTATCATTGCTGCCTTCTGTTGGCCTGTTTCTTGGTCTAACTTTTGAAGAGAGCCATTGGTTCAATTGAAGTAGTCAGTATATGCATATAGTGATAATCTCCTAAAGTGCCCCAAATACCTTGGCCCCATTCCGGCCAATATTTTCTATCAATCATTAAACAAAATGGATGGCATACTTCTGAAATTTGCCAATGATACAAAACTATACAGCTAATATATTAAATCTTATAATGGGTGATGAAAATAATTGACTTTTGCGAGAGGGGTGAGACACGGTTACACTTTCCATCTGCAAATGGTTGATCATATACTCCTTTCAATTCCTCCAGGACCTCCTGCTTTAGAGATTATACTGTAGATGGTCATGTTTACACATAATATTGCATTGATTACACCAAGCCCTAGAACATTATGGGATCTCCTTGATGAGATGCCTGATCATCCAAAAGAGATCAGCCTAATACTCCTCAGAGGGACAACTAAATGGAGGAAAAAATACCTATTTTCCAAGTGATGCTGACATGTGGTTGTATAGGCAAATCTTGGAGTTAATCATCTGGGATGAGTGGCCCATGTGAGGCCCAGATCTCAGGAGCCAAAAAAGTTTTAAATAAGCTAAAAGGATAGGCCAAACCTAATGAAGTTTAATAGGGACAAATATAAAGCCCTGTATTCAGATTAACAAAATCAAAAGGATAAAAGGGCTTACATAGACAACTAGAAATATGAAGAAGATCTGAACACTTGACACTTAACTAGCTGTGTGACCCTGGGCAAGTCACTTAACCCTGATTGCCTCCCCCCCAAAAAAAAAAAAGATCTGAGAGTTTTTACTTGATGGCCAACTCAGGATGAGTCTCCAATCATGACTTTGATATTTAAAGGACCTGTGATTTCATTAACATGGGTATTTCCTCTATCAATGCAGATTGTACCCCTTTAATGCCTTCCTGTGATAGTCAGTTCTTGGCCCTCTTTTCCCATAGATCTTTCACAGAGGATGTACCCAATCTGCTAGAGGCCTTCTTCGGGGTCCTTTGACATTTCAGGACTCAAGTTTCCTGTCTGCTATTCATTACCCATGCCATGTAACAAGCCCACTTCCTTTTAAAGACAGCTAGGTTGTATAGTGGATAGAGCATCAGACCTGGATTTAGGAAGACTTGAGATTAAATACGGCCTCAGAGTGTTACTGTGTGATTCCGAGTAAGTCACTTAATCGCTGCCTGCCTCAGTTTCCTCAATTGTAAAATGGGGATAATCATACCTGTATCTCAGGATTGTTAAGAGGATCAGATGAGGTAATATTTGTAAAATGTGCTTAGCATAATGCCTGGCACATTGTAGGCACTTAATAAATGTTGCTTCTTTCCTTTCTTCCTTTTCTGATTATACATTTCCTCAGTGATATCCCATACATTGCTTCTTGAGCATGGGGCAGTTTTCTGTGGACACATGCTATGGCTTATTTTCAGCAACCATGTAAACTTTCTCTAGGTCATGTATAATTCCTTCCAGATTATGGTGTTCCAAGATTCAAAACCAGAAAGCATCATCAGGGAAACATTGGCTTTGAAAAGATGGGGAGCAACTTGGGATCATTAAAAATATAAACAATTTTCAACTTAGGAAATTCCATTCATCCTTCTCTCTTTCTCCTATTCAGTTCTGAGCCTAATCATTCTGGGCCCAATGGGCCTATCCACTTGCAATGGGCATCCCAGATGCTTAGATGATGAATTAACTTAAAGGTTTGTTCATACAAGCACACATCACCACCCCTTGGAAAATAGATATTTTTTTCATCCAATCTCTTTTGGATGATCATGGATCTCATTGAGGAGATCCCATAACGTTCTAGAGTTTGGTACAATCAGCACAATATTGTGTGTAAACATCATCTGGAGTGTGGTCTCTAAAGTGGGAGGTCCTGGAATAATTGGAAGGAGTGTATGATCAACCATTTGCAAATGGAAAGCTTAGTTGCATCTCACCCATCTCACAAAAGTCAATTATGAGCTTTTTTCCAACATAGCTACACTATCCCAATCACCCATTATGATACGACACTCTCCACTCCATGCCTTTCACCACTGTCCTTCTGTGCCTATGCCATACATCAACCCCTTAGAGTACTTAAACTAATAGAGACCCAGATACTTAAGGCAATTAAATAAGTAAATTTCCCTCCCCTCCGCCCCCCCATTGTCTTTCTATTCTGCCCACCAGATTACCTCATGACTGTATTGGGAGTCCTTCACTGGATGGGTTCTGTGTTCTGAGGAACTGACCAATGAGAGCTTGCCCCATCCTGTTCAATTTCTTTGTATCTCAGATCCTACTAGATCATCTTTTCTTCAAACCTACCTCTTTTCCAAACTTCTTTATTACTACTGAGGGCATCATCATCTTTACAATTACTGAGATATACAACCTCAGTGTTATCTTCAACTCCCCATTCTCACTTACTGCACATATCCAGCTGCCAAATCTTGCCATTTCAATCATTCACACCATCTCTTCTCCCTGTTCACACAGTCACCACCTTACTTCAAGCCCTCATTACCTCTTACCAAGATTGTTGCTACACTCTCCCTACCTCAAATTTCTCACCACTTCAATCCACCCTATACACGGCTACCAAAGTGATATTACCTATACATAGATCTTGATTGTATCATTCCATTATTCAATCAATTCTAATGGTTTCCTGTTTCTTCTGGGATGAAATATGTATTTCTCTGTTCAGATGAATGAAAAGCCTGAGAGACAAAGTTTCTGGGTAATTAATAATCAATTTATTAGTTAGGCTAGCAAATAATCAATAAATTGATGGCCAGTGGTATCTCTCAGGATAACCAAAGACCCCTCATGGAGGCCACTGAATGCTTAATACCTTTGGGAAAATGTGTGTTCCCAACAGGGGCAGATCAACCCTGATTAGTGAACAATCAATGAGAGAATGAATATTATGATGAGAGGTGAGCTTTTTCTAATGAAGGGCTGAGAGGACATGACTTTGATCATGTCAGCACTCCCAGATCATTCCAACTCCAGCAATATATAGGAAAGAATCTATTTTCCACCCAGTCCTACCTGAGTTGAACAATGGTGCGGTTACAATAAGAATTCCACCTAGATGAGATGTTTTGGGTGAGGTAGATTTGGGGGAAGGTTAGAAATGTCCTTGACAGACTGGGCTTTGAATAAGCAAACCAAAAGAGGATCTTTGGGTTCCATATATAAATTGGTTATTAATATAATAAGAAAACAATAACTTTTCTCACTCTTTAGATTTTTAAAGCCCTTCATAGCCTAGCACTAACCCAGCTTTCCAGTTCATTAAGTATTACCTCTCCTCTCATACTCTACAACACAGCTGAACTTGCCTCTCTGTTACTCACAGGATTCCTTGGGTGAAAGTTTAAGAACCTTATAGCACCCATTTCCCTTGCTGCTCAGATGCTTTTTCCTTTGGAGGGGCTGGGGGTAGCTGTGTTCTAGATGGCTGAGGTTCCTAGAAGTATGACCACCTAGATAAGTGATGTGTTACACAGCATTTTTTGGGGGGGTGAGGCAATTGGGGTTAAGTGATTTGCCCAGGGTCACACAACTAGTATCATGTGTCTGAGGCTACACATGTATTTTTAAAAATTAAATAATTAAATTAAATTACATTAAAATACACTGTATTTTTTTAAATGTCATTTTGACACCTCAACCAAGCTTATGCCAGTATAGCCGGTCAGAGATCAATCTGAATGGGTTGATCAATTAAAATAAGAGCAGGGAAAATTTGCATAAGAAAGATGACTTACTGACCACGCTTGCAAGGTCATTAACATCTCTCTCCTAGCCAAAGTGGCAAGCTAAAATGATAACAACCATCATAGGTGACTTATTCCCTATCAGAGGGATTTGGTATGTGGTGAATGTGAGGACACACTCTTGTTCTCTACACTTTCCTTCGAGAAACTGTCCAGAATACTGCCCTTAGAGTCAGGAAACCTACCTGTGACATGTATTAGCTGTGCTACCAGCATGGGCAAGTCATTCGACCTGGCTGAGCCTTTGTTTCCTTATCTGCAAAATGAAGGTAAGTCCCGAGGTGCCTGCTTCATGAGGTTATTATGAGGATCGAATCACATCATGCATGTAAAATCAAAGTCCTATGTAAATACCTGTCATTATTATTACAAAGTGCTAAGTGAGATAATCATTATGTTAATCATTTAATAATCAGCTATTCATTTCGAGGTCAGTGAATGTTCTACATTTTATTATATATTTGCATGTGAAAATATACATATTTGTATATGTTTTAGGAAGTTGTGAAATTCCTGGATCTGAAACACCCAGGCCACTACAAGATCTACAACTTGTGCAGTATGTATGAGTTATCTGTTTCATTATTCTGCTTTGAATATAAGCTCTTTGCACAAAATTTTGTGCCTGGCACAAAATAGGAGTTTAACTAGTAAACTCATTGAATGCTTGTTGACTGAAGCCAGTGCCTTTTGGGAGGCTATAGTCTCATGTGAGGCTAGTACAAAGAGCAGTGGATTGAATGCTGGACCAGGAAAAAGATCTGAGTCCAAATTCACTTTCAGATACTTACTTAGTAGTTTTGTGACCCTGGGCAAGTCACTTAACCACTGTCCATCTCAATTTCTTCTTCTGCAAAATGGGGATAAATATAGCACCTGCCTCCCAGGGTTCTTATGAGGATTAAATGAGAGAATATGTGTTAAGCACTTAGCATAGTAACTGTCATATAGTTAAGTACTTCAGAAATGTTTATTCCTTCCTTCCTCATTATAATTTCCTTTTCTTTCAGTGACAATTTCTGAAGGATCTTTCTCTCATTCCCATTTTAAGTTTTAAAGGCCTTAGCTTCTGTTGGGCCTGGCTTTTTTTTTTTAAGACAGAAGGTTAGTGTTGAATCAAAATGTTATAAAAAGGAAAGAATACAAGGGATATAAGAAAAATTATCTTGTTTAAAAACTTGCAAACTGTTAAAGCTGGAGGAAACTTTAAAAATCATTAAATGCAACATGTCAGTTTTAACTGTTAGGGAGACTGAGGCCCCAAGGAATAAAGTGGCTTGCCCAAGGTGACTCAGAGATCTAGGATTAGAATCCAGGTCTCCTGACTTGCAACTCAGCTCTCTTTCTACTCCACTCTGCCTCCTTAATGATAGGGAATGATCTTTCTTGAACTTTTTTTAGGTGAAGCCATGTATGCCTGCATCAGAATCACCATAGAGACGTAAACTTTCTCACATATCCCAGATGGAGATGTTTTCTCAAAATCAACTACCCACATCATGGAGCTTGGATATGTGGGAAGGAAGAACTATTGGGGGGGGGGGCGTGCAAAGAAATCCCCATCTCCATGGTGATTCTGATGCAAGGATACATCAGTTAGAATTAGGCTTGGGACCACCTTTGTGCTTTTTTTTCTCTGAGAACTCAGATAGATGAATATATTTTTCTTGCTCCTGTCCCTTGATATTTACCTCTCTCATGGGTCCTATTGGGCACTGTACCATGAGCCATTTGCTGAGGTTTTCTATGTCAGAGTTATGACCTCAGGGCATAATTGGACCCCTAATGCTACTACTATTCTCATGTTTCTAAAGTTTCAAACTTTCCTTCAGGCAAGGTGCAACTATTCTTGGATAGAGTTCCTCATGTAAGCAAATTCTTAGGTGGGCTAAGTGAACTGCCATTTTTAAATGTCTGCTAATGTCAAGGCTGGAAAGGACCCTGAAAGCCTATGGTCCATTGTAACACACAGTACTTTGAGCTTCTTGGAATAGAAGAGTGCTAGTATTTGAAGAGAGTGGCAAAGTATTGTTATTACTACTAATATTACTCAAATGTAGTCCTCTTAGCATCTTCTGCTAGCACCATTTCAAAAATGCAACTTCCCAAAATAAATTTTGAGCATAAAATTTAAAAAACAAAATTTTAATGTAGGCTTAATATGTTAGTTTGATGTATAAGTTTGACTTCTGTTATCTGTTTTAGGTGAGAGAAGCTATAACCATTCATACTTCCATAACAGCGTAGAAAGATTCCCTATTGATGATCACAATGTTCCCACCTTAATGTAGGTTGTATGCTAAGTTTACTGAGGGAGGGAGAATACTGGGGAGGAGGAGGGCAATCTTGATTTTCCAAAATAATACTTATATTCAACTAAAAATCATTTGCTTTTAACCAGTGACATGATGAGATTTGTGGACAGTGTATTTGAATGGATGGAAAAGGACCCAAATAATATCATAGTAGTTCACTGTATGGGAGGCAAAGGTAATACTGTTCTCTATCTCTTAGATTCAACTTCTTTAGTTATACTGATCTTCAATTGAAAGAAAAAGAGGCTTCAAGAGAATTTCCATGCCATAGTCTCTTCATATAGAATTATGAATTCAGACCAAGGAAAAACTATGCTCCTCCAGCCCCTTCTCCTTATTCTGATTAAGACATGAAATACATCTTTAGTTCTTTTTCCTAGTCAGATGAATCTCCAATGAGCAAGGTGGGAATTAGGTAAAAGAAGCCAATATGTGTCCTCATATTTGAAAATTAGACACTTTCTTTTCCAGAGGGAACATAACAAGAATGCTCTAAGTTGGCTAGTGTGTTTGAAATATATCTGAGAAATTTTGTTTGTGAACATGGAGATCTTACAGACTGATAGAAACATTTTTTTAAAAAAAATCACAGACAACAGGGAGGAAGCACACCATAATGGATAGAGGTCTGGCCTCAAAGCCAGGAGAACCTGTGTTCAACCCACCTCTGACACATGCTGACTTTGAGACATTGGGCAAGTCTTTCGCCTCCTCAGTGCTCTAAGCATGTTCCAAGGGCCATGAAGGTGGCTAAAGCAGACACCAAGGTCATCCACTGCATCCCAGGCCATCACCAGTAGTCCTGACTTTTTGTCTTGCCACTGGACTTCAATGATTCTGGAAGAGAGAGTGAGGCTGATGACTGCCACATTTAAATTCAATTCACATGCAACTCAAGACATCACCCAGTGATGTCACTAGTCCTCTTCAAAAATGAAGGACAAACAATAACAGCTCTAAGTAGCTCTCTTGGACTCTAAGTCGCAGAGAAGGTTCTGACCTGCATTGGCAAAGGGAACTCCCTACATTAATGAAATCACAAGTCCAGTCCACCTCTCTATCTATTGTTGACATGGGCAATAACTCTCAATTCCATTTCCCACATTTCCTATGACACATTCATTCAAATCCTATATGGCTCAGATTCCATCTTGGAAGACCAGGTAAAGTACTTCCTGGCCACATTGGCCTAAAGTGACCTCTTTTTCTTTTGAATCTCTATATTTTCCGGGAAGATCATACAGCAAATGCATACATGCTATTTAAGTATTTTATTGCTTAACTTTTCATGTGATAGACTAGTTTGGGAACTAGAAAGCAAGGTCCTTGAAGAAGGAGCTATTGTTTGAATCTCCTATTATATATAACAGGCATTTAATAAGAGGTTGTGGGATTTGGGGCTTTTTTTCCCCTTTGGTTTAAATATAGTCAGTGAAGGTTTAGGCTTTCCTAGAACTCAAAATGTCATTCAATGGTAACATATTGTACTTAGATGAAACATGGAAACCACGTGTCTATCATGCTGGAACAAGGATAACTTTGGCATGTGGTACATGAGGAGGGCATATTCTCTCTCCATTCCATTTCTTAAAGGGTTCTGAATAACTCTTCACAGATATTTATAGGATGATACTTGAGGTAGAACTTTGACTGTCAGCCAGTTAAGCTGGGTGCCAAACATGATATCATAGAGCTCTTTAGCTGTAGATAAGCTTCTATAAGACCAAACAGAAAAGTGCTTTTCCTTTTTCCCAACAACCCCTTTTTGAGTATATTGTAGAATCGAACTATATCTGACCAAGTAGGTTTATTTCAATTCAACAAACAAATATTAAGTGGTGTCCATTGAAACATATTGCCAGTGAAACACACAATGGGCTTCATAAAAAAATGAATAAGAAATGGCCTCTTTGCCCCAGGAGCTTACACCAGTAGGAAAGATGAGACAAGAACACAAATGACTGTAATACAAATTGAAATGCAGTCATTAAAGCTTAAAAGTGCACTGAGACCTTTGGGACACTCTTTATAATAAAAGCACAGAAGGAGTTCAAAGTAGGGTAGATAGTTTCCAGCAGAAGAAATAAGTGACCTTAAGAATGACAGAGATTTAACAAAGACTTAGGGCAAGGAAAAATATTATAAAATATTAGCTGAGGCAGTTAAGTGACACAGAGGAGAGCTAAAGCACTGGACCTGGAGTGAGGAAGACCTGAGTTCAAATCCAGCCTCAGATACTTACTATCTGTGTGACCCTGGGCAGGTCACTGAACTGCTGTCTATCTCAGTTTCCATCTCTGTAATAACAGCATGAGTCCCAGGGTTGTTGAGAGCATCAAATGAGATAATATTTCTAAAGTACCTTACAAACCTTAAAATGCTATAAAAATCCTATTGTGGTTCTTCTTCTTATTGTTGTAGGGGGAAATGATGAGTTAGAAGCCTTCAGGCTGGACACAAGTTCAAGTCTGTGACATGTTTGATTATTTTTGAAGTACGTTGTCTTGGATATGTATTTTTAGGTTGAAAGAGAATGAACTCAGGTTATAATCTTTGTAAGTGGCTGGCAATAGTGAGATTGAAAACACTCCTATCTAGTGAGCAATGGTCACCTAATTAATTTCTTTTCTAGGTAGAACTGGAACTATGATCTGTATTTGGCTTATTGCTAGTGATCATTTTAAGACCGCAAAGGTATGAAATATATTAATAATTACTATATTGTTGTGCTGATTATTTGGATAGAGCTTACCAGGACTGAAAAACCATTGAGAGAGATTAGATGCTGCTAAGATTATTATTTGAGTTATAGTATTCAGGTGGGAAGTTGAGTATGTGATGTCTTAGGTATCTTTCAACTCTTAAGATGCTTTTTTTTTAAACCAGACCTATAATTTCATTGGTACAAGGATTTCCTAGTGAAAAATTCTATCTACAAATGAAAATTGGTGCCTGCTCTGCAATTTATAGTCTTAAAGATTTGCCTAAGGAATTGAGAAATTAAGTGACTTGTCCAGGGTCACATGGCTAATATGTGCCACGGGCAGGTCTTGAATCCACATCATCACTGCTATCATTTAAATAGTCCCAGCTATATGCCAGGCACTGTGCTAAGTATTTTATATTAGTCTGAATGTCATCTTTTAATCTTTGGAGGTAAATGAACTATTATCCTTATTTCACTGGAGAGGGGGACATTCTAATGTGTCTAAATTCAACAAATAAATAGCAGGATTTAGACTATAAATCATATGTCCTGGCAGCTGATGATGAAATCACTTCATTTTATCTTCACCACAACCCTGAGAGGTGTTACTACTTTCTTCATTTCCAGACGAGGAAACCGAAGGAAACAAAAGTTAAGTGACTTATCTAAGGTAACACAGCCAGTAAGTGTCTGAGGCCAAATCTGAATGCAATTCTTCCTACCTCCAGGCCCAGTGCTTTGTGCATTATGGTACCACCTTGCTGCCACATCTTACTGACGTTGAGGCAAGTTCTCAATAAATATAGGTCCTGCTGCTGCCTTTATGCCAGTGCTTGAATAAGATTTGTCTTTGGAGGGACCAATGCCTTTCTCTAGCTGCCAAGATCTGTGGGTTATATTCTAAATTCTGCTACTTATTTGTTGAATTTTAGACACATTAGTACTTCCCCCTTCTCTAGTAAAATGAAGATAACAGCTCATGTCCTTTATAGCACAAAAGATGACATTAAAACTCATTAAATAAAAAAATTAAATCTGTGAAGATGTATAGGCATCCTTACAGGTATTATGTAAACCAGAGCTATTGCTACTCACCCCCCCAAATTAACTCTGCTCCTAAGATTCTTATTGTGACATTTACAGAAATACAAATGAGACTGATAAAGTAAGAAGGAGGATAAGGGTTTAGCAGTCCCCATCAAACATGTGTGTTCTGGAACTCCAAATTTGGGTAGCCTCGGCCCAAACAACATTGACTAGTATAATAGAGGTGTCATTAGTTCTAGCAGAAATCTTAAGTAAAAAAGAAAAGAAAAGAAAAAGAAAAGAAACCTTAAGTGTGTTTTGATGAGGAAACTAAGTAAAAAAAAAAGAGAACTATTTGGTACCTGGTTGAGACCCATTTGAATTTTTCTTTCTTTCTTTTTTTTTTCCCTGAAGGAGAGCCTGGAATATTTTGGAAAGAGAAGAACAGATACAGCTTCTAGCTCCAAATTTCAGGGAGTAGAAACTCCTTCACAGGTGAGCTTTTAAAACAAAGGATAGGCCTTCTAGGAAAGGGGCTATGAAAAGTAATTAGTTGGGTGTTTTTTAAACTATTAGTATCCCTTAGAAATTCAACATTATTAGTGAATTTAATCATCCCTTGATAGATAGTAGATAGCAGTGGTTTTTTTTATCCTTTTGACTGTGGTAAGAAAGAACTCTTGAGGTTTTTTAAACCAATTTTTGGTGACTTCTGTGACCAAGTTTCCCCCCTGAATACTTAGCCTACCTTTCACATTCCAAGAATCACATTTTAAAGTGCTATGGTTGGTTTATCATCTCAAAAGAAGGCAGGGTAAATTCTCAAGATTCCATACCTCACTGGACATGACCATGCAATTGTTTGTGGCCCCTTCTGCTGGGGAGGTTGAGGCTCGTGGATCACTTGAACTTGGAAACTCTGGGTTGTAGTAGGGCTAAAGCCAATCAGGTATTCATAAATGAGTCCAGCTGCCTAAGGAGGGACAAATCACCTCAGGTCAGAAAAGTAGGATAGGTTAAAGCTTCTATGCTAACCATTATTGGGATTAGGACCAAGGTCAGCATACCAGCAGAGGGAAACCTGCGGCCTGAGTCCAAGTTTTACAGAACAAATCCTTTTATTTGTTCTGTGAAGTTTGGATTCAGTCAAAGGGCCCCATTTCCACATGCGGCTGTGGGTTCCCCACCCCTGCACTCTACCTTCAACCTGGGTGAGATAAGGGGATCCAGGGTAAAAATAACAACAATAAAGATTCCATGCCTCTAAGCAGAATGCCCAGGGGTTAGAATTCTGCCTGTAGGGATTTGCTCTATATAATAGTCCATTCCTGGCATAACGGTACTAGGATTATTGCTATATAGCCAAATCAGTCTGTCAATCAACAAGAATTTTACTAAGAACTTACCTTAGGCTAAGCAATATGCTAATACGCATTAGAGATATAAAGAAAGGCAATGTGCTGTGCCTTTAAAGAAGAAACAATCTACAGATATCTATGTACATATACATATATACAATGTAAATGGAAGGCATTAGCATGGGTGAGGTGGGAGATAAAGAAGTTAAAGATCTGCAGAAAGTGGATTTTAAGCTTGGCCTTCAAGGATTGCCAGGAAGCCAGGAGAATGAAGTGAGAAGGAAGAAAGCTCCAGGCCTGGGGAACAGTCTGTAGAATTTGGTAGAGCTGGAAAATGAAGCCATCATACGTGAGTTACAGAAATTAGGCCAGTACTAGTAGCCAAATTATGGAGTGCATGTAGGGAAGTAAAGTATAAGAAGAGTAGGAAGGTAGAGGACCAGGTTGTGAAGGACTTTAAATTCCAAACAAAGAATTTTGTTGATCCTGGAGGTAATAGGAAGCCACTGAGGTTTGTTGAGTAAGGGGGTGCCATGGTCAGTCCTGAGCTTTAGGAAGTTAGCTTTTACATCTGAGTGGAAGATGATGTGAGTGAAGAGAAACTTGAATCAGGGAAAACAACCACCAGCCTATTGCAGTGGCCCCCGTATGAGATGAAGAGGGTCTGCATCCAAGTGGTAGGTAGTCTTATGCTGGAGTCTGCTACTTAGAACCCCACTTTCTCAGTATCATCCACCATCACAGTACCAAAGGCAGAAGCAGGATATGCTCATGCTTGGGCTAATACTGAAAGCAATTAGTTAGCCCTTCCGCATTGCCACTTTCCCCATTGTGGTTTTGATAGATTGTGGGTCAGCGTAAGAAGTTAAATGGGAATTTAGGGGGAGTTTTGTGCAAGCCAAGGCCAGAAAACAACAACAGAAAAAGTTTAGAAACCCAGAAATGTACAAAATACATGTATAATATTGTATAATATCAACACATTTTGCCTTTTAATACCATGATAATATAGACTTCTTCTCTGAAACAAAGGGAAGGCCAAAAAATTTCATGGGGATTTTCCAGATCGTGGGGGCACTATGCCCCTAACTCTCATGATGTGGAAGAGATGATTGTAAATGGATTACTAGTGCTCCCTCACATGAGTGCTGGGAGCTCTGTGATTAAATAGACCCATGTATACTTATCAGTGGTAGAACACTCACTGGGGTAAAAGGAGGAGAGAGAGAGAGAATGCCTATCTATGCTGGACTAACAGAATGAAATCACAGTTAGGTTGGAACATTAGAAACACAATAGATATGGAAAGAATTTTGTTCATCCCTTTTTCCAAATTTTTAACTACATAGTTTTACATTCCTGAGATACCCTTCTTTTCTTCACCTAACCATCCCTTCTTCAAAGCTGCTTATCATTGTTGAACCCCAATGTATCACAGAGTCTGTTCTAAGAAAGAGACAAACGAGATTAGGGTATGTGTGTCCAAAGTGAAATTTCTCTCAAGCTGGCTTGACACTTATTGCATGGGAGTTCAGTCCTGTTAGAGAAATCTGAAACAAAAATTGACTACGGTGAGTGAGTGAAGGAAAGCCTGTATTGCACTTCTCACTAGAGAAGGGGGTACAAGGCACACACTTTAGTAGCACATGGGTTCTGGTTCAGTGGTACAATCAACTTTCTAAGCAGTTAGTAAGATCCATACTCCACCCATCAGGGCAACAATTGGTCTAGTTCATCTGAGCTACACTCTTCCTGGACAGCCCATTGCATGTTCTTCCATGTTCTCTTAACTCCACCCACTTCATAGGTCCCATGATAAAAAATGGCAGCTATCTCTGCCCTTAGGGGGTGTCAGTTAATATTTAATAAGCTTATCAAGCTAGCACAGTGGAGAAAAGCCTTTGCTTTTCTAGGACCCCTCCTTGAACCCTACGGTTGCAAGTGGTTTAGCCTCCAGGGCTCTTTCTTCAGGAACCAGTTATCTACTGAACATTTGGTACACTTTTGGATTGGTGGAGGGACTACCCACAAGATCTTGGAATTACTTATCCTGCTGTGGAAGCCTAACCCCCTAAAATCTTTCTTCCCAGTCCAAAACTTGGCTCCCCCCAATGAGGATAGGATCTAGACCCCAAAAAGGAAAAACACTGGACTTTCCCACATGGCCAAAGCTGTGGTATTAGCCTGAGGCTATAATCCCATCAATTTGGCCCTTTATTATCACCTACACTCAATCTCCCAATTCTCTGTTACCCTTAATTTAGCCTAGCCCTCCATTGTCTTACCTTCCTATGGCCATCCCTGGCCACTCCCCACCCTTAATCCTAGCTAGGCTCCATTCTCCCTTGGCATTCTCCAGGTTCCTGACATTCTGTTACCTCACAGTCCCTGCAGATTACTTGGCCACTCCTAGATCTCTCCCACAGTCTTTCTGTAGATAAGGTCCATCTTGTCTCCATTAAGGTGCTCAGATTCTTACAATTTAACCAATAGCTCACTAGTGTTCAGACTCCTGAAGAGTCTGCCCGATATGATGGATGTCCTGATAAACGCTGTCTTTGGCTAAAAGAAGGCTTGGGTTGAATTCTTTTGGACAGGACCTGCATGTTGTGATTTTGGGGTCCCAGCACCCCTAAACCTCAACACTCCTAAGGGGACCAGTTTAGAACTGGCTCAATTTGGGACTTGGGGATAAAGAGCAATATGCCCTTGGAAGAGTAGGCATTCAAAAGGGGTGCCAATCTGTCACAATTGATCAACATGCTAGGAGGTGGGCTATATTAAAATAAGGTCTTAAGTATATGACTTAGGTCACTTAATAAACAGGGGTTGATATCAACCACCACCAAAAGAAATACCACCCCAAGTCTTGGGAATCTGTGACACTCAAACCTGAGTAGGATGAAATGGATTCAGGTCTGGGTTTGGAGTTTGACCAAGATAAGATCTCATAATCATGATAATCTCATTATCAGAAATGTCCTTCTGAAGAACTTCCCACCAGTCTTTGATCGTTTCAAACATTTCAGTAAGCCTTAGCCATCATGTAATTAGTTGTGTATATATTTCCATGTTTCTTTTGATATTTTATGGAACTATTTGACTAGCCTTTAAAACCAAATCACTCTGGCTTTCACTGAATGGCCAATAATAACCCCAGCCCAAGCCCGTAAGATTAATTGTTTAGAATGAGTATATTGATTAGAATGAGTGTAAATAACAATTGGTTTTTTGTTCTGGCCAGAAACTCTGAGGGTCTTCCCCTCTCAGATTGTTATTTTTGTGATGGTAAATTGGGCCATCTTTTGTCTCACTTTTTACCTAGTCTTTAGTCATTAAATGGGCATTGCCACAGACAAACTGAAGCCTGGGAAAGACTTTTAATTTAGAAATGCCAAGGCCATCCACTGCAACTTGAGCCCTCACCAGTCGTCTTGACTTATGTCTCATCACTGGACTTCAGTGACTCTGGAGGAAAGAGTAAGGCTGACAACTTTGCCGAACTCTACCTCCCTTAAATCCAATCATGGGTAAGTCAATACATCACCCTCATGATGAGGTCCTCTTTGAGAACAAAGGATGAACAACAGCTACGTTACATGCATTCTTCCGCTTAGGTTTATTCTTTCTAGTTATTTCTCCCATTGATCATAAACCTCTAAAAAGTCGAAGGCTATCTCCTTCCTTGTAGCTTCCCCTTGCTCTTATTAAAAATTTCAAGGTGTTTACTCTATAAATGCTTGCTTACTAAGACATAAGTTACTTGTAGAGAAACTGGGAATGGTCATTTTGGAATTTTCCTTCACTTACGTGGACCTGTCTCTTGTGTTACAGAGCAGATACGTTGAATATTTTGCCCTGGTAAAGAACAAGTACCATTGGGCTTTACCTCAAAGTCAAACACTCAGGATAAAATCCATCACTATTTATTCAATTCAAGGTAAATATGTTTAATATAAATGAAGGTTAGGAAAGAAAAAAATCTTATCATTTGAAGTAGGTTACAAATATGTTCTATATCTATATATGTGTTCATGTATGTGTATGTGCACATATGTGTATTCACTATAGCTAGTGTATGTAGCTAAATAAATATTAGGTAAGGAGCAGCTAGGTGGCACAGTGGATAGAGCAACAACCCTGGGGTTAGGAGGACCTGAGTTCAAATCCAGCCTCAAACATTTGACACTCACTAGCTGTGTGACCCTGGGCAAGTCACTTATTGATTGCCTCACCAAAAAAAAAAAAGACTTCTAATTAGGCTTCCTGTCTCCATTCTCTCTACTCTTCAATTGGAACTCCTATACAGGAGTGGGGAACCTGCAGCCTCAAGGTCACATATGACCTTCTAGGTCCTCAGGTACAGCCTTTTGACTGAGTACAAGTTTTACAGAACAAATTGTGTGCCCATTTTGACTTTATTTTGGTATACAGTGTAAGATTTTGGTCTATGCCTACTTTCTGCCATACTATTTTCTAGTTTTCCCAGCAGTTTTTGCAAATAGTGAGTTCTTATCCCAGAAACTGGAGTCTTTGAGTTTATCAAACAGTAGATTGCTATGGTCATTGACTATTGTGTCTTATGTACCTAACCTATTCCACTGATCTACCACTCTATTTCTTAGCCACTACCAAGTAGTTTTGATGATTGCTGCTTTATAAGACAATTTAAGATCTGATATGGCTAGGCCACCTTCCCCTGCATTTCTTTTCATTAATTCCCTTGATATTCTGGACCTTTTGTTTTTCCAAATAAATCTTGTTATTTTTTCTAGCTCTATAAAATAATTTTTGGTAGCTTGATTGGTATAGCACTGAATAAGTAAATTAATTTAGGTGGAATTGCCATTTTTATGTATTAGCTCAGCCTACCCATGAGCAACTGATGTTTTTTCAGTTATTTAGATCTGACCTCATTTGTGTGAAAACTGTTTTGTAATTGTGTTCATGTAATTCCTGGGTTTGTTTTGGCAGGTAGACTCCTAAATATTTTATAATGTCTACAGTGACTTCAAATGGAATTTCTCTTTCTATCTCTTGCTATTGGGCTTTGTTAGCAAAATATAGAAATGCTGATGATTTATATGAGTTTATTTTATATCCTGCAACTTTGTTAAAGTTGTTTATTATTTCAAGTAGTTTTTCACTTGATTCTCTAGGATTCTCTAAGTATATCATCATATCATCTGCAAACAGAGATAGCTTTGTTTCTTCTTTGCCTATTCTGATGTCTTCAATTTCATTTTCTTCTCTTATTGCTGAAGTTAATGTTTCTAGTACTATATTGAATAACAATGGTGATAATGGACATCCTTGTTTCTCCCCCAACCTTATTGGAAATGCTTCTAGCTTATCCCTATTGCATATAATGCTTGCTGATGGTTGTAGGTAGTTGCTACTTATCATTTTAAGGAAGGCTCCATTTATTGCTGTGCTCTCTAGTGTTTTTGATAGGAATGGGTGGTGTATTTTGTCAAAAGCTTTTTCTGCATCTATTGAGATGATCATAAGATTTCTGTTAGTTTTGTTGTTGATATGATCAATTATGTCGATAGTTTTCCTAATATTGAACTAGCCCTGCATTCCTGGTATAAATCCTACCTGGTCATAGTGTATTATTCTCGTGATAAGTTGCGGTAATATTTTATTTTAAATTGTTGCATCTATATTCCTTATTGGTCTATAATTTTCTTTCTCTGTTTTGACTTTTCCCAGTTTAGGTATCAGTACCATATTTGTATCATAAAAAGAATTTGTTAGGACTCCTTCTTTGCCTATTTTCCCAAATAGTCTATATGGCATTGGAATTAATTGTTCTTTAAAAATTTGATAGAATTCACTTGTAAATACATCTGGCCTTGGAGATTTTTTCCTAGAGAGTTCATTGATAGCTTGTTCAATTTCTTTTTGTGACATGGGGTTATTTAAGTATTTTACTTCCTCTTCTGTTAATCGGGGCAATTTATATTTTCATAAATATTCATCCTTTTCACTAAAATTGTCAAATTTATTGGCATACAGTTGGGTAAAATAGTTCCTAATTATTGTTTTAATTTCTTCTTCATTGGTGGTGAATTCATCCTTTTCATTTTTGATACTGGTAATTTGGTTTTCTTCTTTCTTTCTTTTTAATCAAATTAACCAAAAGTTTATTTTATTGGTTTTTTCATAAAACCAGCTCTTAGTTTCATTTATTAGTTCAATAGTTTTCTTAATTTCAATTTTATTAATCTCTCCTTTGGTTTTCAGTATTTCTAATTTGGTATTTAATTGGAGGTTTTTAATTTGTTCTTTTTCTAGCTTTTTTTAGTTGCATGTTCAATTCACTAATTTTCTCTTTCTCTATTTTATCCATGTAAGCATTTAGAGACATAAAACTTCCCCCCAAGAACCATTTTCACTGCATCCCATAAGTTTTGGTATGTTGTCTCATTATTGTCATTCTCTTGGATGAAGTTATTGATTGTTTGACTCACTCATTCTTTAGAATTAGATTATTTAGCTTCCAATTAATTTTTAGTCTATCTTTCCATGGCCTTTTATTACATGTAATTTTTATTGCATAATGATCTGAAAAGGATGCATTTAATGTTTCTGCCTTTCTGCATTGGATTGTGAAGTTTTTATGCCCTAGTACATGGTTAATTTTTGTGTAGGTGCCATGTACCACTGAGAAAAAGGTATATTTATTTCTATCCTCATTCAACTTTCTCCAGAGGTGAAATCCCCTTTTAAACTTTTTTAAAATTGTTTGTTTGTTTGTTTGTTTTGTCTAAACAGAATAGGTATAATTGGCATTCAATCCCTATCTGGAAGTAAAAAGGAAGGGAAGAAAAAAGCATTTATATAGTACCTTCTATATGCCAGGCACTGTGCTAAGCACTTCACAAATATTATCTCATTTGATCCTCACAACAACTCTATGATCTAGATGTTGTTATTATCCTCTCTTAACAATTGAAGAAATTGAGGCAAAAAGGTTAAGTGATTTGCCTGGGGTCATATAGCTATTAAGTATCTGAGACTGAATTTGAACTAGTTGTGCTGACTTTAGGCTCCGCATTTTCTCCACTGTATGACCTACCTGCCTCTAAAATGCTAGAGTAGGGGCAGAGCCAAGATGCCTGAGTAAAAGCAGGGACTTACCTGAGCTCTCCCCCAAGCCCCTCCAAATACCTTTAAAAATGACTCTAAACAAATTCTAGGGCAGCAGAACCCACAAAAAGATAGGGGGAAACAAATTTCCAGACTGAGACAACTGACAAGGTCAGCAGGAAAGGTCTGTTGCATCAGGGTGAGAGAGGAGTGCAGTTCAGCAGAGAATGTACCAGTGCAGATCTGACCTGACCCCAGCAAACCCAGAGCAGGCCTCGAGGCAACTGAATCACTGGCAACAGTGGTGGTTTCCAGACTTCTCAACCCACAGATGCCAAAGACAGCTTAGAAGGTCAGTAGAACAGGTCTGTTGGACCTGGGTGAGAGAGGAGTGCAGTCCAGCACAGGCTGTGCCAACACAGCCTGGCCCAATAAACCAGGAGCAGGCCTTGGGAGTGACTGAATCAGCAGCAGCAATGGAAGCAGCTGCTTCCAGAGCTCTCAGTCCACAGACAACAAGGGTATCAAACAACTGGTCAGAAGGAGATTGCAGGAGTCTCTTTGCTGGCACTGAGGCAGGATTCTGTTGCTTTGCCCAAATTTGGATCTGGGTTGAAATCTTGGGTGGTAGTCCTGGGGCAAGGAGGAGCACTATCAGAGCAGAGCTTATGGCAGCAGTTTAACAGGGACCCTCCTCACAGTTCCAGGGCAGAAAAGAGTGCTTGTGGTCACTCACAGACAAGAACACAGGCCAAGAAAGTAATAAACACCTCTCTTTAGATCATACCACCTCGGAAGGACTGAAAACTTATAGATCTCTAGAAATATCTCAGAAAGTAGCTACACAAACCCCCTGAAACTTGGGTCAGTGCACCCTCTGCCCTGGAAGCAAAGCCCTTCTTTAACAAAGAGTTAAAAGTCAACTAATAAGCTAGGGAAATCAGAAAACAACAGGAAAAAAAAATGACTATAGAAAGTTCTATGTTGACAAGGAAAATCAAAACATACTCAGAAGACAACAAAGTCAAAGCTCCTACATCCAAAGCCTCCAACAATAATATGAATTGGTCTCAGGCTATAGAAGAACTCAAAAAGGATTTTGAAAATCAAGGAAGAGAGGTGGAGGGAAAATTAGGAACAGAAATGAGAGTGATACAAGAAAATCATGAAAAACAAGCCAACAGCTTGGAAAAGGAGACACACAAAAAAATCCTAAAGAAAATTACACCTTATAAGATAGATGAGGCCAAATGATAAAAGAGGTCCAAAAAGCCAATGAGGAGAAGAATGGCTTAAAAAGCAGAATTGGCCAAATGGAAAAGGAAGTCCAAAGGCTCACTGAAGAAAATAATTCCTTGAAAATTAGAATGGAGCAAATGGAAGCTAATGACTTTATGAAAAATCAAGAAACAATAAAACAAAAACAAAAGAATGAAAAAAATAAAAAATAATGTGAAAAATCTCATTAGAAAAACAACTGACCTGGAAAATAGATCCAGGACAGATAATTTTAAAATTATCAGACTACCTGAAAGCCATGATCAAAAAAAGAGCCTAGACATCATCTTTCAAGAAATTAAGGAAAACTGCCCTGATATTCTAGAACCAGAGTGCAAAATAGAAATCAAAAAAATCCACCAGTCACCTCCTGGAAGAGATCCCAAAATGAAAACTGCCAGGAATGTCATAGCCAAATTCCAGAGTTCCCAGGTCAAGGAGAAAATATTGCAAGCAGGCAGGAAGAAACAATTCAAGTATGATAGAGCCACAGTCAGGATAACATAAGATTTAGCAGTTTCTACATTAAAGAAATGGAGGACTTGCAAATGATATTCTGGAGGGCAAAGGAGGTAGAATTACAACCAAGAATCACCTACCCAGCAAAACTGAGAATAATCCTTCAGGGGGAAAAAGATGGATATAATGAGATAGAGGACTTTCAAGCATTCTTGATGAAAAGACCAGAGCTGAATAGAAAATTTTACTTTCAAATACAAGACTCAAGAGAAACATAAAAAGGTAAACATGAAAAGGCAATCATAAGAGACTTAAACATAAGTTTAAACTTTAAATTGTTTGCATTCCTTCATGGGAAAATGATATTTGTAACGCCTAAGACCTTTCTCATTATTAGGGTAGTTAGAAGGAGTATATGTAGACAGGGTACAAGTGTGAATTGAATGTGAAGGGATGATATCTAAAAAATAAAATTAAGGGGTGAGAGAAAGGAATGTACTGGGAGAAAGAGAAAGGGAGAGGTAGAATGGGGTAAATTATCCCACATAAAAGAGGCAAGAAAAAGCTTTTGCAGTGGAGGGGAAGATGGGGGAGGTGAGAGGGAGTGAATGAACCTTACTCTCTTAAGAACTGGCTCAAAGAGAGAATAACATACACATTCAATTGGGTATAGAAATCTATCTTACTTACCCTACAAGAAAGTAGGAGGAGAAAGGGATGGGGGGGGTGATAGAAGAGACGGCAAATTGCAGGAGGGGGTAGTCAGAAGCAAAAATACTTTTAAGGAGGGACAGGGTTCAAGGAGAGAGAGAATAGAATAAATAGGAGGCATAGGATGGCGGGAAATACAGAAAAAAATTTTGAAGCAAGTTTCTCTGATAAAGGCCTCATTTCTCAAACATGTAGAGAACGGAGTCAAATTTATAAAAGTAAGAGCCATTCCTCAATTAATAAATGATCAAACATATGATCAGTTTTCAGATGAAGCAATCAAAGCTATGTATAGCCATATTAAAAAACTAACTTAATATTAAATTAAATCACTAAATTTAATTTAATTTAATTTTAATTTTAAATTTAAAAATAAATTTGATTAATTTTAATTAACAAATTAAATTATATTTATATTTAAAATTTTAAATAAATTAAATTAAAACAATTCTGAGGTACTACTTCATACATATTAGATTGGCTAATAGGACAGAAAAGGAAAATGGCAAACGTTGGAGAGCACTTGGTAAAAATGAGACTTTAATGCACTGTTGGTGGAGTTGTGAACTGATTCAACCATTCTGTAGAGCAACTTGGAACTATGCCCAAAGGCCTATAAAAGCATGCATATCCTTTGACCTAGCAATATCACTATTAGGTCTGTAACCCAAAAGATATTATAAAAAGGAAAAGGATCTATATGTAAGAAAAAAACATATATATATATGGCAGCCCTTTTCTAGGAATAAAGAATTAGAAGTTGAGGGGATGTCTATCAATTGGGGAATGGCTGAACAAGTTGTAGCATGTGATTATGAGGGAATACTATTGTACTACAAGAAATGATGAGCAAGACGCTCTCAGAAAAACCTGGAAATACTTCCATGAGCTGATGCAAAGTAAAATGTAGTATGCTATACAGTAATAGCAATATTATAAGATGATCACCGTGAATGACTTGGCTATTCTCAGCAATACAATGATCCAAGACAACTCTGAAGGATATATGATGAAAATGCTATCCACCACCAGAGAAAGAACTGATGGTATCTGAATACAGATTGAAGCATACTTTTCTTAACTTTATTTTTCTTGAGATTTTTTTCTTGCTTATGTTTTCTTTTACAACATGACTATTATGAACATGCTTTGCATGACTACACACATATAACCTGTATAGAATTGCTTGCCTTCTCAGTAGGGAGGGAGGAAAGGAGAGAATTTGAAACTCAAAGTTTTAAAAACCAATGTTAAAAATTGTTTTTACACATAATTGGGGAAAAATGAAATACTAAATAAAAGCTAAAAAAAAATAAAGTGCTAGAGTAGAAGATGTTCTAAAATGCATCTTATTAATTCTACTTTAATTAACGATGATGGAATAGAGGACCACCAAAATTAGAAAATATTAATACAATATTGCTTGGGATAAGTTGCTTTTTTTCCTCCTTTTTAGCCACAAAATTAATTAGCAAGGAGTTTAAGTCTAACTCAACAAATATCTTCTTTTCCATAAACTGAACACATCTTTTATTTTTTTTTCCTCTTTAGGAGTTGGAAAAGGTAATGGAAAAGATCTGAAAATAGTATTAATTATGAAGAAGAAGATTATTTACACCTGTTTCTGTTCATCTTTAAAGAGCTGTCAGGTGGGTTGCTGTTTACAAATAATTTTACTTTAAAACTTAATAACCATCTCAATAGATACCAAAAGATGAAATAATCAACCAAAATTGGGACTAAAACAATATATTAATCCATGGACAATACTGCCCTATTTCAATGGATCCACCAATGTAGGCATTCCCTCCACTAGTAAAGATCACAATCATCCATACTTTCTCATATCTGTCATTCTTATCTATGTCCTCTCATCAATCCTCTATTTAATATCCACTCAGCGCCCTAAAGAATTCCATTGATGTGGCTTAATATTATATGGATACCAGTCAGACAGTGAATAAATATTTATTAAGCACCAAATATGTGCCAGGCAAAGAAAGGCAAAAGACAGTCCCGGCCTTCAAACAGCTCACAATGTAAGGGGGGGGGATATGACAACATGCAAACAATTACATATACAAACAATACATATGTACATACATATGTTTAAGAAATAACCAACAGAGAGAAAGCACTAGAATTAAGATGAATTGGTAACAGCTTCCTATAGAAAGTTGCATTTTAGCTGGGACTTGAAGGAAGCTAAGGAGTGAGGTTTAAGGTATAAGAAGAATGGAAAGGAGGAAACTAGGTTATGTAGGGCTTTGAATACCAAAGAAGAGGTTTTATATTTTATCCTAAAGGTGATAGGGAGCCACTAGAATTTGTTGAGTATGGCAATGACATCTTAGACCTGTGCTTTAGGAAAATCACTTTGGTGGCTTAATCTAGTCTTAAGATAGACTAGAGTTGAGAAAGACTTGTGGCAGGCAGATATACCGGTGGGCTATTATAATGTTCCAGGCATGAGGAGATGAGGGCCTCCTTCATGGTGGCAGCACTATTAGAAGAGAGAAAGGAGCATATTCACAAGACATTTCAAAGGCGAAATAGACAGAACTTGGGACCAGATTGGATATAGGGGTGAGAGATAGTGAGAAGTGGATAATGACACCTATGTTGCAAGCCAAGGGGACTAGAAGGATGATGGTGCCCTTGATAGCAGTGGGGAAGTTTGGAAGTGGGGTGGGGCAGGGGGAAAGATAATGAATTCCGTTTTGGGCTCATTGAGTTTAAGATGTCTACATGACATCCAGTCCAAGGGTCTAATAGGCAGTTGGAGAAGTTCTGTCCTGCCATATATTCTCTCTCAGTGATATATTAGTTCCCATTAGTTAAACTATCATCTCTGTGCAAACGACTCACGGATCTATATGTTTATATATCCAGGCCCAGCTTCTTATTTGACCCTTAGTTTTATATCAGCTATTGCACATTTCAAACTGGATGTCCCAGAGATGTCTCAGAATAAAGATTTTTACAACCAAACGCTTTATCTTTCATCGACCCATGCTTGTAAACTCCCCTCTCTTCAAACTTTTACCTATTTCTGTTAAAGATGCCACCATCCTTCTAGTTTCCCAGGTCCATAATCTCGGGGTTATCCTGTACTACTCATTCTTCTTCACCTCACATATCCAATAATTTTCCAAATCTTGCTCGTTCTACCTCCAAAACATCTCTCACATCTGACTCCTTCTTTTTACTCACCCAGTTCTCTTTGTTTGATCTCCTTGGAGTATAGACCTAGTAGCATGATTACTGAGTAAAAAAATATATATATATTTTGATAGCTTTTGGGGCATAATTCCAAATTGCTTTCCAGAATGCTTGGACTAGTTCATAGCTCTACTGACAGTACCCTAGTGTATCTATTTTTTTCAAATCTCCTCCAGCATTTGTCATTTTTCTTTTCTGTCATCTTAGCCAATCTTATGGGCATGAAGTAGTACCTCAGAATTGTTTTAGTGTGCATTTATTTAACTATTAGTGATTTTGAACATTTTTTTAATATGGCTATGTATAGCTTGGATTTCTTCCTCTGAAAACTACCTTTTAATATCCCATTTATCACCTGGGGAATAGCTCTTATTCTTATAAGTTTGATTCAATTCCCTATATATTTTGGAAATGAAACCTTTATCAGAAACACTAGCTGCAAAGGTTTTCTCCCCAGTTTCCTACCTTCTAATTTTAGCTGCATTGGTTTTATTTGTGCAAAAACTTTTAAAATTTACATAACCAAAATTATCCTTTTTAGCTCCTGTGATCATTCTTATCTCTTCTTTGGTCATGAACTTTCCCCCCATCCATAGATTTGACAGGTAATTTCTTCCATGCTCCAACAATTTGCTTATGATATTGCCCTTTATGTCTAAATCATGTACCCATTTTGAAGTTTACCTTTGTATATGGTGTGAAGTGTTTGGCCTATGCCTAGTTTCTTCCATGTTACTTTTCAGTTTTCCCAATTTTTTTTTTTAATCAAAGAGTGAATTCTTGCCTTGTTAGCTGGGATCTTTGGGTTTATCAAACACTATGCTACTGTGCTCGTTTGGTTTTAATTAGTGTGTACCTAATGTGTTCTGCTAATCAACCTGTCTCTTACCCAGTACCAAATTGTTTTCACAATTACAGCTTTGTAATATAGATTGAGATATGCTAGTCTCTCTTCCTTCCCATTTTTTAATTGATTCTCTTGATATTCTTAACTTTTTGTTCCTTATTTTTTTTCTAGCTCTATAAAGTAATTCTTCAGTAATTTGATTGGTATGACATTAACTATGTAAATTAATTTAGATAGCATTATCATTTTTATTATATTGGTGTAGCATACTCATGACCAATTAATATTTCTCCAGTTATTTAAAAGTACAGCTAGGTGGCTTAGCAGATAGAGTGCCAGACTTGAAATCAGGAAGACTGATCTTCCTGATTTCAAATCTGGCCTCAGACACTTACTTGCTGTGTGACACTGGGCAAGTCACTTAATCTTGCTTGCCTCAATTCTTCATCTGTAAAATAAGCTGGAAAAGGAAATGGCAAGCCACTCCAGTACCTTTGCCAAGAAAAGCCCAAATGGGATCACAAAGACTTGGACAGGACTGAAATGATTGAACGACAAGTTATTTAAATCTGTCTTTATTGATGTAAAGAGGATTTTGTAATTGTGTTCATATAGTTCTTGTGTGTGTATTGACAGATAGACTCCCAAATATTTAATACTATCTGCAGTTATTTTAAACAGAATTTCTTTTTCTATCTTTCCTGCTGGGCTTACTTGGTAATATATAGAAATGTTGATGTTTTGTGTGGATTGACTTTATATCCTGCAACTTTGCTGAAGATGTTGTTTCAATTAGTTTTTTTGTTGACTCTCTAGTGTTTTCTAAGTAAAGCATCATATCATTTGCAAAAAGTGATAGTTCTGTTTCCTCATTGCCTATGCTTATTCTTTCAATTTCTTTTTCCTTTCTTATTACTATAGCTAACATTTCAAGTACAACATTGGATAGTAATGGTAAATGGACACTTTGTTCACCCTTCATCTTACTAGAAAGACATTTAGCTTACCCCTAGTAATATAATACTCTGTTGATTTTAGATAGAAACTGCTTATCATTTTAAGGAAAGCTCCATTTATTCTTTTGCTTTTTAGCATTTTTAATAGAAGGTATGTTGTATTTTTCAAAACCTTTTTCTGAAATCACTGAAATAATCATACGGTTTTTGTTGTTAATATGGTCAATCATGCTTATCGTTTTCCTAATATTAAACCAGCCCTGCATTCCTGGCATAAATCCAGCCTGGTTACAGTATATATTCTTTATGATATATTGCTATAATATTTACGTTAGTATTTCAGTTAAAGCTTTTGCATCAACATTCATTAGGGAAATTCAAATATAGTTTTCTTTTCCTGTTTTGACTCTCCATGGTTTAGGTATCAAGACTATATTTGTGACATAGAAAGAATTTGTTAGGACTCCTTTAGCTATTTTTTTTTCAAAAAGTTTATATAATATTAGTATTAGTTAATCTTAAATGTTTGGTAGAATTTGCTTGCAAATTCATCTGGTTAAGATTTTTTTTCTTATGGAGTTCAAGCTACATATAGGATAAATAGGAGGCAATTAACAGAGGGAAGGCAATAGAATTAAGAGGGGTTGAGAAAGACTTCTAGAAGCCTTTCTAGAAAGCTTCTAGAAAGGATTTTAGTTGGGACTTAAAGGAAGCTAAGGAGATGGTAGGCAGGTAGAGTGTAGGTAAGGAGTAGGTAGAGTGGAGGAGGGAGCCTGTTTTAGGAATGAGAAAATGCCAGGAACTGAGATGGAGTGTCTCGTTCATGGAACGGCCGGGAGGCCAGTGTCACCAGATCGGAGTATATGTTGAGTAGTAAGGTATCAGAAGACTAGAAAGGTAGAAGGGGAAGAAGCTGTGAAGGGCTTTGAATAAAAGAGCATTTTGTATTGGATCCTAGAGGCAATAAGGAGCTGTTGAAGTTTGAGTAGGGACATGACATGGTCAGACTTATGCTTTAGGAAAGTCATTTTAGGTTCAGCTAGGTGGCACAGTGGATAGAGCACCGACCCTGAAGTCAGGAGGACCTGATTTCAAATCTGTCCTCAGACCAAACACTTGACACTTACTAGCTGTGTGACCCTGGGCAAGTCACTTCACCCCAATTGCCTAAAGAAAAGAAAGAAAATCATTTTAGTAGCTAAATGAAGTATGGATTAGAAGAGGGAGAGACTTGAGGCAGGCCCACTCACCAGCAGGCTATTACAATCTTCCAGGCACAAGGTGACAAGGGCCTACACTAGAGTGGGTGCAGTTTAAGAGGAGAAGGGGATGCATTTGAGAGATGTTGCAAAGGCAAAATCAACAGGCCTTAGCAAGATTGGATGTGGTGGGGGTGGGAGGACGGTGTTGCCTTCTACAGTAATAGGGAAGGTAGAAGGGGAGCAGAGTTCAGGGAGAAAGATAATGAATCCTATTTTGGACATGTCGCATTTAAGATGTCTACTGGACATGCAATTTGAGACGTCTGAAAGGCAATTGGAGATTGGAGAGAAGTTAGAGGGTGAGCAGATTTGAGAATCGTTAGCATGCTGCTGTTGTTCAGTTATTCAGTCACATCTGCAAGGACTCAAGATGAAATTCAATGATTTGAGTTCTGTCTACCTCCTTTCACCTTGCTAGTAATCTCCAGATAGATCCCCTTTCTTGTCTTTTGTCAAGGGTGCCAACATCTCCCCCGTTACTCAGGCTTGCAACCTCATCTTTACTCCCTCTCATTTACTCCATATAGCCAATATTTTTCCAAATACTGTCATTTCTACCTTCATAACATTTCTCTTACATGTTTCTTTCTCTCCACTCACACAGCCACCACCTTGGTGTAGGCCTTCATCACTGCAAGCCAAGAATTATTGCAGTCACTTGATTGGTTTTCCTGCCTCAGATCTTTCTCCTCTCCAGTCAGTCAGCTGCCAGAGGGGAAAAAAATGGAGATAGAGAGAGAGGGAAAGGGGGGAGAGAAAAGTAGGGAAGGAGAACTTTAGTACATGTCTGGATAGTTACGGTCCTTCATCAGTATTGTATCATGCTCCACATCAGGTTTTTCTTTTGATGCTTTGTTTCCCAAGTTCCCCTCCAAATTCCTCTTTCTATCCAACTTGTCTGTAGTGTACACCCCACAGCAATACCTTGCTGTCCAAGGTATTCTCAAGTCTTCTCCAGCACAACAATTCAAAATTGCCAATTCTGTAGCTCTCAGTTTTCCTTATAATTCAACTCTCACTAACATACATTGCTACCAGAAAAACTATATAGACATTTATTGGCAAGAAAATTCCTCTACTTTTTAGTATACTGTCCAGACTTGCCATAGCTTTCCTTCCAAGGAGCAAGTGTCTTTTAACTTCATAGCTGTAGTCTTCCTCTGCAGTGATCTTTGAGCCCAAGAATATAAAATCTGACGCTTGCTTCCATTTCTTCTCCCTCTATTTGCCAGGAAGTGATGGGACCAGTTGCCAAGATCTTAGGATTTTTTTTTAATGTTAAGCTTCAAGCCAGCTTTTATACTCTCTTCTTTCACCCTCATCAAGAAGCTTCTTAATTCCTTTTCACTTTCTGCCATCAGAGTGGTATCATTTGCATATCTGAGATTGTTGCCATTTTCCCCAGCAACCTTAATTCTGGCTTTTGATTTATCCAGCCTTCCATGGAGATGGTATTTAAGTCAATGGGATGAGATCACTAAGTGAAGAAGTATATACAGAGAGAAGAGATGAGGGTTTAGGAGTAAACCCTTAATCTGCCAGGAGGATCCAGCCAAGGAGACAGAGAAGGAGCAGTCAGATAGGAGGAGAACTAAGAAAGAGTGGTGTCCCAAAAACCTAAAGAGAAAAGGATATCAAGGAGGAGAGAGTGATTGACAGTGTCAAAGGCTGCAGAAAGGTCAGAGAGAATGAGATAGAGAAAAGGCCATTGGATTTAGCAACTAAGACCATTAGTAACTTTGGAGGGAGCAATTTTAGTGGAAAGATCATTTCAGGAGCCACATTGTAAGGAGTTAAGAAGAGAGTGGGAGGAGAAAAAGTGGAGGTACCTATTGTAGATGGCCTTTTCAAGGAGTTCAGCTACAAAGGACAGAAGAGATAAAGAATGATATCTAGCAGGGATGGAAGGAACAAGTAAGGGTTTTTTCAGGATGGGAGAGACATGGGTATGTTTATAGGCAGAAGGGAATGAGCCAGTAGACAGGAAGAGATTGAAAATAAGTGATACAGCAGGCATGACAGAGGAGGCAATCTATTGGAGACACAAAGGAATGAATTCACTTGGATAAATTGAGGGTTTAGCCTTGGTAGGGGGTGAGGAGTAAGGCCATTTCATCATGTGAGACAGGTGAAGACATTTATCATTTCATGCCTGGATTATAGCAATAGCTTCCTTTCGTAAGTACAATTAACAAGATTAGGCAAGAGATGGAATTTAGAGGGAGAGGGAAGAATAAAAAAAATTACTCTTAAATTTTGAACCAAGATGTCAAAATGTGAATGAATTGATAAATGATAACTATTTATTAAACATGTACTATATCTCAGGCATTATGCTAAACACTGGAGATGCAAATACAAGAAGACATGCCCTACTCTCAAAGATTTTACATTCTAATAAGGGAATGGTGGCCAGGGAGGGCTGTTTTGAACTAGGAAGTGGCAGGGATGGGTAGTGGAGCCATAGGGCAGTTGATTTACATGTCCTTTCCAGGAATAGGCATGTTGAATTCATTATTATTCCCAGAGCTAAAGGTAGAAAGTTGAGAGAGGGGCAAGAGAATGAGGACAGTCACTTGAACAGCAGCATGATGGGTCTAGGTCAGAGTAGTTATGGAAAACTCTCAACAGACAGGAATTCAGGATTCCAGGGCAGGAACTAGAGAGCTGGACTAAGTCCTTCTCTCTCCTTGGGGCTCATCTATAAAATGATTTTTAACAGAAATAGGAAATTAGGAAGAAGAGAGATTTTAGGGGAAGATAATAGGTTCATTTCTGAAACAAGTTGATTTTGAAATACCAACTGAACGTTGAAATGGAAACATCCAATGACAACTGGAAATACACACCGAGTTTTAGAAAGGGCCTGAGACTATGTGAATAAGGGAGTTATCTGCAGAGAAATGATAACTGAAGTGTTAGAAGCAGATGAGATTGCTAAGGAAAAGATTGTTGAGAAAGAAGAGGAGAGGGACAAGGAGATAACTTTGCAAGACCTCTTATGCTTAGGAAGTAGGAGAATAAATAAGAAACCAAGTCAGAGGAGGAAGAAAACCAGGAAAGAGCCAAGACATGAAAGTAGCAAGAAGAAAAATGTCAAAAACTCCAAAAGGCTTGGGAAGGGTAGAGGATTGAAAAGAGACTATTGGATTTGACACCAAGAGGTATTAAGTGATCTTAGAGGTAGCGGTTTCAGTAGACTGGTAGGGATTACATCTGGATTGTTTGTGCAAAAACTTTTTAATTTAATGTAATGCTCTCTATCTCTTGTTTGGTAATAAATTCTTCCCTTATCCATGTATCTAATAGGTAAAATTTCCCATGCTCAAGGAATTTGCTTATAACACCATCCTTTATATCTAAATCATGTATCCATTTTGACCTTATCTTGGTATGTGGTGTGATATGTTGGTCTAGGTCTAGTTTCTGCCAGACTGCTTTCCAGTTTTCCCAGACATTTTTGCCACATAGTGAATTCTTGTCCCCCAAACTTGGATCTTTGGGTTTATCAAAGACTAGATTGCTATAGCACATTATTGTGTATTGTGTAACTAATCTGTTCCACTGACCCACCACTCAATTTCTTAGCTAGTACTAGATTGTTTTGATGATTTTTTTGTTCTTGTTGAGTCATTTTTCAGTCATGTACAACTCTTTGTGACTCCATTTGGGGTTCTCTTGGCAAGGATATTGAAATGGTTTGCCATTTCCTTCTCCAGCTCATGCTACTATTTTCAGAGCTAGTTCTGGGGGGTCTGTAAGTTTTCAGTGCTTCTGAGGTGGTATTATCCAAGAAGAGGTGTGGTCACTTCTCTCCTGGCCTGTGCTCTGGTCTATACTCAGGAAGGGACCTTGTTGCACTGCAGCCACAAGTGTTATTGAGTACTCCTTCCGGCCTTGGAACTGCGACTTGGGACCCTGTTCTCCTGCAAGTTATAGTGTCCCTTTCAGCCTTGGAACTGAGACCAGGGCCACTATTTCCTTGTGAGTGACCACAAATGCTCTTTTCCACCCTGGAACTGTGACCAGGGCCCCTACTCCCCTGTAACCACAAGCACTAGTGCTTCTCTTCACCTTGGGGCTGTGATCTGGAACTGAATATGGGCAGTGCAACAGGATCCTGAACCCATTGCCAGCAAAGGGTTCACTGTAATCTCTTCAGACCAGTTGTCCAACCCCTTATCTTCTGTGGGCTGAGAGCAGCCAAAGCTACTGTAGCTACTGATGCAGCCACCTCCAAGGCTTGCTACTATCATTAACCTTTTCTACTGACCTTCTAAGTTGTCTTGGACTGGGAAATTGTTTCACTCCAACCTTTTGTTGGTTCTGCTGCTCTGGAATTCAATTTGAGGCATTGTCTGGAGGAGAATTTAGGTGAGGTCTGGTGAGTTCCTGCCTCTGCTCTGTCATCTTGGCTCTACCCTGTGCACCTTGATTATTAATGCTTCTAAGTTGCATTTTTCAATCACAGGTATTTTGTGATGATGACAGTAATTCTGTAAATATCAGACTAAATAACTGTCCGGACATCTGTGGTGACGTGAAAGTAAAGTTCTTCTCCAGTTCTGTAAGTACAACAAGAAGTAACCAATGTAATTCTTAGCTTGGAGTTTTCTCTAGCAGTTTCCGAATATAGAACTAACTCTTTAATTTTCAATGAAAGTAGGGAACAAAGATTGCACAGATCATGGAAATCCACAACAAAGTCCCAAATCCCAATTTTTCCAAAAGTTCAATCCCCTTAGCCACCAAAACCTTCTCTAGAACTGTTAACCAATAACAGTTTGTTATATCAGCTAAACCAATAAATTTTAGCTCCACTCAATTCCTGCTGTTCCTCCACTGGGAAAGAGTTAATCACCACTATAATGGTAAAAGACAGGAGAACCAGCTAAGGATGATCTATGGAATCGACCACCCTCTTTTGACCCTATGCAACTGAGTAACCTAGAATTACACTCTCAATCACTAAATTTGAATAATGGAAACTACAATGGTCAAAATATCAGGAACCTTGGGTATTAGTCCTGATTCCATAACTTACTGACATTTAACCCCCGTAAGCCTCAGTTCCTCTAATAAAATTTTGTAAAGGGTATGTATGTGTATGAAAATCCCTTGACCTCACAAAATCAATGAATTAAAAGCATTTTGAAAATATTAAATGCTTATAATTATTAGTTGTCTTTAATAATAATAGTTTCTTATAGACAACAATATATTTGGGTATGATATGAAGTCTTTGATAACATTCTGTCTAGCACTGGCTAAACTAATTTAAACTAATATAAATGATCAATATTTAACTGAAGGGTGGGGGCTGAGACTTTAGTCATTTCAGAATTGAAATAACTAGTTCTTGGAATCAATTTTGCTAAGAAAAAGTAACCCTTTTAACACAGTATATATTTTATGTATTTTTAGGCCCTTCCTAAACTATATGAGAATTGTCCATTTTTCTTTTGGTTCAACACATCTTTTGTAGAAAATAACAGGTATGAAGTATGAACTACTTAAATTAAATTCACCCTAATGAAAAGCTAGATGTGTGTGTGTATGTGTGTGCGTCTGTGTGTGTGTGTGTGTGTGTGTGTTTGTTAAAAGGGAGAACAAAGAAAGGAAGCATTGGGTAAATGGCCAGTAATTTAATTATCACCTCATATTTAGACCTGAGCACTGATGGGTTCAAAGAATAAAAACTGAAATGTCAGTTAAAGTTGACACAAGAGAAGTTAAAAATTGGTTTCGAGGTTAATATACCAAAGAAATTTCCAATGTGTGTGGGAATCTCAAGCCTAGGAGAGAGTATCTGGATTTCTGTTCATCTATGGTGGAGAGGTGAGGGAAAAATTGGTCACCTAGAAATTGTTGTTGACATAGCTGAGGTACCACTCTTTGTACCAAAAAAAAAAAATTTGATTTTAAAATGTTTAATTTCGTGTCTGGAGAAATAGTAGGGTTGTATCTACTAGTTTCCAGAGAAAGAGCTGAATATTGCTCTTGGGGTTTATTCTCTGCCTGAGTTCCATCACACCCAGAAACTGGCCTAATGCTCTAGATGTAAAATGTGCATTTCTTTAATTCTGTAAAAGAAATGGTCAGAAGAATTCAGTGAAGTCCTTCACCCAGTTATTTCCTCCACAACAATACCTAGCCTGTACCATTCATTGGAACAGGAGAGAGGGAAATATGAGGGCAGAGAAAAAAGGAGTGGGCTAGTTACAAAAGAAGTGATAAACTCTGGATAATTTAGGTTTGACACTAAAGTACGACTAAAGAAGGTTTTTTTTTTAATTGTGGGAATTTTTTAAATTGTGTGTGTTTTTTTTTTAATCTGGGAAAGAAGTTTGCACCTATAAACGACGAGGAGGATTAATACATGTTATATAAAATTTTGCTTGTTGCTTTGAATTCATTGGAGAGGGAAGAAGTGTAAAAAGACTAGAAGAGGGTTCTCAACAAATAGTTAATAAAGTCTTACTTTTTTCAAGACTCAGAAAACATCAAATTTATTATTTTCCCCCTCTTAGGCTCTATCTACATAGAAATGAATTGGATAATCCCCATAAACAAAAAACCTGGAACATTTACCATGAAGATTTTGCAGTGGAATTACTGTTTAATTAGCTGTGATCTACAGAAGTATATATTTGTTTAAATGTTACTCCCTTCTATTAAAGAATCATGTTCCTGTGAACCCCTTCCTACATAGAGGCATCTCTAAATCTACATTTCTTAGTGTTTTCATCTGTATTCTGTGCACTTAAGAATTCTATTAAACGTTATAGGTAAAAGGCATATGCTCATTTTCTTATACACTTTCTTACGGCGACTTTCAAGAAAAGCAAGGCAATGCATTGTGGGTTGTGTGTGGACTCAAAGGACCTGTGTTCAGATCTTGGTTCTGCCTCTTTTTTAGCAGAGGGCAAGTCACTTAATTTCTCTGAGCCTCAGTTTTCTCATCTGTAAAAGGAGGGTGTTAGTCTAGATTGCAACTAAGGTCCCTTCCAGTTCTAAATCTATGATTCTATGATTAGTTTTATGCAAAATTAGCATTTGAGTCTTCAGTTACATTTGGAACATGGTACCCTCACAAGAGAAAAATAATGATCACTTCACAGAAACTTACTGATAACAGTGCCTGGCATGCAGTAAGTGCTTAGTAAATGCTTATTGCGTGACTGACTGACAAACCCTTCCTACTAAAACTCTCTCTCTCTCTCTCTCTCTCTCTCTCTCTCTCCTCTCTCTCTCTCTCTCCCTCCCTCCCTCCCTCCCTCCTCCCTCTCCTCTCTCTCTCTCTCTCTCTCTCTACATATATATATATATATATATATATATATATATATATATATATAAATAGACACACACACACACATATGCACATACACATTTATGTATGTTTTATTGATGACTTTAATCTCTGCGACTTTTTTAATAGTATTTTTTCTTGACCTCATAATTCCATCTTTATTCAATGCTAACTTCCTTTTATGTTTTTCAATCTAGATAAAAGACTCACTCAACTTTTTTTTTTAAAGTCATGAGATTTAAAGCTGAAAAAGGTATGAGGGAACATTTCATGCTTTTCAACTCACTGCTTCCAGCCTTTTGCCTCTCAAACCCATCCTACCCAAAAAACAAACAAAAAACAACAAAAACTGTAGCCTCCAAAATGCTCCTAAAGCATAGGCTGAATTATACCAGTCCCTTGCTCAGAAATGTTAATGGTTTCCCTTTGCCTATAGGAAAAAACTACATTTTACATTTTTGCCCAATTCTTAATGGGGGGGAGCTGTTGTTTTTGTTTATTTGTTTGCTTTCGTCTTTGGGTCTCTAATGCCTCTCACAGGTCCTTGCTGTTATACTGTATATCGAGGGTTCTCAAAAATGCTGAGGGGCAGCTAGGTGGTACAGTGGATAGAGCACTGGCCCTGGAGTCAGGAGGACCTGAGTTCAAATCTGGCCTCAGACACATAATATGGACTAGCTGTGTGACCCTGGGCAAGTCACTTAACCCCATTGCCTAGACAAAAAAAAAAATACTATCAAAAATGCTGAGATATTGGCCTGGAGCCAGCCTTTACGCCATCAGCAAGGAAGCCCATTATCAGAACAAGCACCCTCTCTGTTTACACTATTTAGTGAGCTTAAGTTTTTTTTTTTTTGGTCAAGGACCCTCCTGGCAGTCTGGTGAAGCCAACAGACCCCTTTTCAGAATAGCTTTTCTAAATGAATAAAACAAATGAAGGAAATCAATTCTGTTGATAGACAAATACCCAAATATTAAAAACATAAAATTCACAGACCTCAGATTAAGAATCCCTAGAATAGAGGCAACTTGATGTAGTAGAAAGACTGTTGACTGTACAATCAGGAAAGCCTGGATTCAAATCTGGCCTTTGACACTAACTGCATGACCCTGGAGAAGTCATTTAACATGTTTGTGCCTCAGGCAACTCATTAAGACTTATCTACTCAGTTATGGCTGGAGCTCTCACACCAATAAAATCCAGGTACCTGACTTATAAACTGTGCAATAATGGAGGATGTGGGTAGCAGGCCTTCTGCTGAAATTCTGTGTCCTCACAGCATGCAGGTGACCATGGAAACTTGAAGGCACTAAGGAGCCCAAGCTCTTTGTCAGTCCTATCGAGGAGGGGCTTCTGTGGTCGACTGTATTCTTTGCTGTTCAAAAATCAGCCTAGTTATCAGACTGGCCACAAGAGGCATTTTTTTTTATCACAGCAACTCCCAACCATCTATTTGGTTATGGAAGGTTTTAATAGTATGGGATGAATAACCAATGGCTAAAGTAACACGGATTTAAAGAGAGGGACAGTATTTGCATCAAATGTCACCAATGAAAATGTAATATGTAAGATTTAGGGAATGACACAAATATGTATGCGTGTGTGTATGTGTGTGTGTGTGTGTAACCCCAAAAGCTACTGAATGGGTCAGTCAGCAAACACTCATTAAGCACTTATTAATAACTATCCTATATTATGGATAATAATAAAAGCACTTTGCAAACCTTAAAGTAATATGTATTATAGATAGCAATATATTGTATATAAAGTAACATATTATGTATTATTATATATCTAAAATAGAATATATTATATATTATAGTATATAATGTACCTACGTAAATCTATATATGCAATATAATAGAAAATATAAAATCTATAGTATAATATATAATACATTATATTGTAGAACATACATAGTAAAGTACATAATATAAAATATTCTATATTTTACAATGTAATATATAATAGATATAGTTTTATATTATATACTATAAATTATATGTACTATAATAATTTCATATATATTATACTATATATACTATACTATATAATTTACTATATATAATATACTATATATACTATATACTATATAATATACTATAAATTATGTGCAATATTTTAATATGCTATATAAATATAGTATACTATGTAATATACTGTATATAATATACCATAAATTATATGTACTATAATAATTTCACACATAATGCTACTACAGTATATAATATGTCCTATATTTTTTATAATATAGGTACATGTCACTTTAAGGTTTGCAAAGTGCTTTACGTATATTAGCCCATTTGCTCCTCCCCACAATCCTGAGAGGTATGTGCAATTATTATCCCTATTTTACAAATGAGGAAACTGAAGGATGTGGAGGTTTACTGACCTGCCCAAGGTCATATAGCTAAGGTATTTGAACTCAGGCCTTCCTGATCTCAAGTCCAACATTCTATCTACTGAACCACCTAGTTCTACTTACTGTGTGCTAGGCACTGTGCTGAGGGCTAGGGATAAAAGCAAAGGGGCAGCTAGGTGGAGCAGTGGATAGAGCACCGGCCCTGGAGTCAGGAGGACCTGAATTCAAATCCAGCCTCAGACCAAACACTTGACACTTACTAGCTGTGTGACTCTGGGCAAGTCACTTAACCCCAACTGCCTAAAACAAACAAACAGAAAAAAGCAAAAACAAACAAAATCACTACTGTCCCTGCCCTTAAGGAGCTCACCTTGTAAGAAACAGAATATCAAGTATCCTGGTGCAAATTGGGAGGAAACCACTTGGATGAACAGTACCACACAAGAAGAGTAGTTGACAAAATTTTACTGCTTCTCATGGGGAAAGAGCTTAGCTTAAAAAGGCAAAGGTCTCCCACTGCATCCGGGGGAGCCATCTCCAGTCGTCCTGATCCATATCTTGCCGCTGGACCCACATGGCTCTGGAGGAGAGGGTGAGGCTGGTGACTTTGCACAGCCCTCCCTCACCTAAATCCAATTCAGTCACAAGTCATGGCATCACCTTCCTGATGTCATGGTCCTCTTTGAGAATGAAGGACAAACAATTGCTTCTCTTAATGGGTGAAGGAGAATAAATGCTGGTAGGAGCCTCCATGTGCAGCCCCCCTTGCCCTCAGTCTAAGGATAGCATATAGTGGGGTGGCTCCAAATGTATAACAGTATTCACATTCCAGTTGAATTCCCAAAGCCTCTCAGGGCTCTCTAGAATTTTAGACAAAGTGCCAATATGGCTTCAATAGCAGACTGTTCCCATGATCAAATATTGGGATAAACTGGACCACTGAGAGAAGAGTATTTTCTCACTTGCCTAATATGGATCAAGGGCCAGGAACCAAGAAATTGAACTCTAACTGTTCCACACAAATAAGAGACTGGGGCGGGGGGGAGGAGGGAGAGGTGATGGTGGTGGTGATGTCTGGTTTCTGAGTTTATATGCATATGTGCACTTGGAGGAGGAGCCATACCAGTCACTGGCTCACAATCCACCCCTACTCCAGAATCCTTCGCTCAAATCAGAAGCTTTCCTGTCTAGAGCCTGTATAAAGTAGACAGTGAAGGAACTGGATGCTGCCACTGTTGTACAGCAGGTACAGCGAGTTATTTAGTCCACTGGTCTCAGGGTGACATACCTGAGGGAAAACACAGAAACAAGGTCCCTGCAAAAAGCAGAAGCCCCTTCAAGGTGTCTTGCATCTGGTTGTCTCCATTGTATAGGAGATAGCCAGGGTCAAAGTTCAGGTAGAAAAAAGGCAAACAGATCAATAGGAACAGTGCAAATGGAGCCAGAGCATTTCAGTCAATTCCCATCTAGCGTCAGATGTTACCTGTGGAAATAAATTGAGGAAGGGTGCAGGCCAGGGTCTAGGGCTCTCCACTCCACTAACCCACATTCTCTCTTCCAGTCACAGTCACTTTCTTTTCCACTAGCCTCACAAGTGTTTTCAACAAAATTGCAAACTATGAATTACCTTTCAAGAACACGCTCAGAATCACCAATATTATGAGAAATGGAAATGAAAGTAATTCTGAGGTTTCACCTCATACCCAACAACCGGCAAAGATGACAAAAAGTGGGAACAGTGTTGGAGAGATTAAGGGAAAACAGGTACACTAATACACTGTTGGTGGAGCTATGAATTAGACCAATGATTCTGGGTATCAATTCAGGATTATGCAAAAAAAGTAACTAAACTGTCCATATAGTTTAACCTAGAGAATGACCCCTATGGAGGTCAAAAACAGAAACAAAGGTATGATATGCTCTGAAATATTTAAAGCAACCTTCTTTGTGGTAACGAAAAACTAGAAAGAAAATGGATGCCTATCAATTGGGGAATGGCTAAAAAAAATTATTGCATACGAATTTAATGAATATTATTATGCAGTAAGAAATGTCAGAAAGCCACAGGAAATTTTATATGAACTGATGCATAATATAATAAGCAGATTCAAAAGGA